TCTTAATTGCCTACTCATACAATATTAAAAGTTTTACTTCAATCGCGTGTGATCCTTACGCGCACTCTTTTTTTTTTTTTTTTCAAGTCATTTGAATTGTTCCTATAATTTTTCTAGGTACTTACAATGCATTCTGAACTTTTCTTGGGTCATTTAGAATGTTTCTAGAATTTTTTGTGGCTTTTGGAATGTTTTGGAATTTTTTTGGTTCATTTGGATTGCGTCTTTAATCTTCTGGGGTCATTTAAATTGCTTTCAGTTTTTTTGGTGCACTTGGAATGCTTCTGGAAATTTTTGAGCATTTGGAATGTTCTTGTAATTTTCTTGGAGCATTTTGAATTTTGTTGTATTTTTTTTGGGCAATTTATTTGCTTTTCTAACTTTTTTAGAGCATATTATTAATAATATTTTTTTGAGCATTTGAATGTCCCTGTATTTTTTCTTGGGCATTTGCAATGTTCCTGTAATTTTCTTGAAGCATTGAAAATGTTTCTAAATTTTCTTGAAGCATTTGGAATGTTCCTGTAAATTTCTTGGGGCATTTGGAATATCTCTGGAATTTTCTTAGGGCATTTGGAATGATTCTGTTATTTTTTCGGGCAATCGATTTGTTTCTGTAATTTTTTTAGAGCATGTCGAATGTTTCTATGATTTTTTTAAGCATTTGAATATTCCCGTATATTTTCTTGGAGATTTGGAATGTTTCTGTAATTTTTTGGAGCATTTAACACTTTTCTCTAATTTTTTTAATAAACAAAGTTTTCAAATTTGAAATGTTCCTGAAACTTGTTTAGGCATTTTGATTTTGTTGAAGTTTTCTATACAATTACATTTGATAATTTAAAAAAAAACATACGCTTTTTGGATTTTATTTAATGTTTTCATGGTATTCAATTTTTTCTTCATTTTACTTTCGACATTTAGATAAATAAAATTAGAAAAAATGCCAAACTTCAATCAAAATAATTTGTTGTATTTATAACTAACTAATTCATGGCAACAACTATGATTAAATTAAACATTTTATGTCTTCTTTTACAATGTAATATCCAATTTAGATTTCAACATGGTGTTTACAAAGTGCAAATCCAATCAAATTGCAAGTCACCGTTACGATGTCCAATTCAATTTAATATGATGATATCAAATTGTTTGTTCAATCCATCGATCGATCGATAAATATTTATAGTGCATCGTAAACATTTATCTTTATTGCAAATTTAAACATCAATTAAGTTGAAATTATTTAAATGAACGAAAAATATTATCTCGATAATATAAGGTAGAACAAATATTATATTATATATATAATTATTTTGTACGAGTGTTTTCTGCATATCATAGATGGCGATAGTGTGCTTCAAATTTTAAAACACTAGAGAGACTTTCTAGATATGGTACACATGTTTTAAACGTTCAAGTACCAATTTTATATGTTGAAATATATCTTTTTTGAATGAAATAAATGTTTAATTTTTTCTTTAACATATTTGTGATTTTGTTGAAAATATATTTTATACGCGTATATTTTGTTCTCGTTTCATTTTGTCAAATTAATCAGGTCCATCTTTTTTATATTACATATTCAAATAAATCTTATCTTAGAATTGAACCTAAGGGTAAATTTACGTGCTACAGTTGGTGGCGACATCTATGATATGCTGAAACAATTAAAATCGATGTAATGTCAAATCAATCATGTTTGCCATCTATTTATACTTGTTTATCTATAAGTAGGACTTCAAATATTTTTTATAAAGTGATACAAAATTTGCAATAGTAGTATTTCAATATATACAAGGGCATAGTGGCATTATAGTGTTCTTCCTCCGTTCATTGATCTAAATCGCTCAAATAACAAAACACAAAGTACAATAAATGACGACGGTTTATTTTGTCGAGATCATCTCGAAAGGTCACAAATTATCTCATCAAATCTTCCTCTCTATTTATGTACTGATAAAGTACCACAATAGACCGACAGCTGGTGTAAAAATTTTATTCATCCTGAAATAAATTATAAGCTAGTTGTGTATGGCATCGTGCTTTGAGGCAAATTGCTGGAAATTCCCGTACCATAATTAAATATTTTAAAAATGCAATTTAGTTTAAAAGTATTTTTTAAAAAAAAATTAAAAAAATTACTCAAAAGCAATCGTTTTGTCAAGACATGCAGAAAGTCGTTTGAATCATTCAAATCGGATGCTTATTGGATCGGATTGCGTAACTGTAAATCTTTCCATTTCAATCTAAACAAAATGTTTTAATATGTCCTTACACACTTTCAGTAGTGTACGGTTATAGTAATCGTCCAAAATTAAATGAAAATTTTTGCATATCTTCACATTTCAGTTTCAGAGGTTTCTGAACATTTTTAAGGCGTACCTTAGAACAAATAAATGTATGTGTGTGTGGATACAATTTTTTGTCTACGATTTCCGACGTTCGATTTCTATTGATAGGGAGATGTGCTGATTAGTTTTTGGTAAGGGCAGGTCTAGCCGTTTCGGAGATACAAGGCAAAGAGTTCAGAAAAAAGTAATTAAGTTTTTGAGAGGATGGAGCATCCGATTTGAATGATTCATAAAAAATCGTTTGGCTTGTATTGACAGTGAGAAGAAACGATTTGTTTTTGGGAAGGTTTATTTTTATTTCAAAATTTCGTTTCTTTTTAAATTCCAAAATATATATATTTTCTTATATCAAATGATTCAGATAATTTTAATTTTAAATAAGGGAATTATAGAAATTTTAATTTTAAATAAGTAAGTTCTAGAAATGTAATTTTGGAATGCTTCTGTAATTCTCTTCAAGCATTTAGAGTATTTCGATAAATTTTTTTTTTGGGCTTTGAAACGCTTTTGAATTTTTTTGAGACAATTGAATTGTTCTTGTAATTTTTTGCGAGTTGAAATGTTTCTGTTAGAAAAAAATTCAAAAAAATTACCCAGACTAAGCTCAGTCTAAGTGACAATCCGGTACAAGTAATTCACCAAGTGCGTTTAGATGTGACTATGCGGGAGCTTTTTTTCAATTTATTGAAAACTATTGAAAAATGTGAAAATGCCGCCAAGAAAGCGTGAAAATGTTGTACAAAATTATTTGCAAATGCGTTTAGAATGTGACTTTAAAGGAGTACTTTTTCAATTTTATGTTAATTATAGAAATGTAATATTGGATTAAAAATTCAAAAAAATTACCCAGGCTAAGCACAGTCTAAGTTGCAACCTGGTACAAATATATAAGCAAGTGCGTTTAGATTGTGACCTTGCAATGGAATATAAAATTTGCACCTAGCCCTAGGTCTTATATATCATTAAACAATTGCGTTATAAATAATACTTATTATTATGTATTTATAGATATCGATAAATAAAGTACAATATCTAATAATTCGTGCTGAATCGATTGCCTATCGATTTTTTTCACTTCGATAATAATCAATATGGCGTTTTAAATAAATACACTAAGATTACTCGCATTTAGAAGGTGATAAAATGTCGTATGTTATTTGTTATCGGATTATATAAATATTTACGTTTTTTATATTTAATATTAATAAAACATATTCACACAAACTACTAAAATTCTAAAACTTGAATATGAAATTTATACGTAATTAAAATTTAATTAGTGGTGTATGGCTTCGTGCCTTAAGGCAAATTGCAGGAACATCCCGTACCAAAAATTATTTTTTTTTAAAAAAGATTTTAAAAAAGATTAGAACATTTTTGAAAAAAAAAATCACTCTTAAAAAATTACATTTTTGAGAAACTATAAATTTTTAACAAAAATTTACTTTTTTTGAAAAAAAAAAACACTTTCTGAGGAAAAATTTATTTTGAAATATATTGGAAATTCTGAACTTTTTTTCGAAGCGCCGCATCGCCGTCTAACGGATAAACATTGGTACGGAACCCATAGGAATGTAAACAAAATTTATACTTATTGTTAAAGTCTCTATAAAATATCTGATAATTTGATGTGCATGTGTCTAATGATCATTTTTGACCTCTAAATGGCTCATTTTTTTACTTTTTCCTCCATATTTCCGAAGCCGCTAGACTTGCCTTCATGAAAATTTAATCAGTTTTTCATCTTATTAATGCAAATAAAATGTTTTTTGAATTATTCAAATCAGACGCTCCGTTCTCTTAAAAATTGAGTTACCGTTTTTGGCACTTTTTGCCCCGTATCTTCGAAACGGCTATACCTGCCTTCGCCAAAAATTAATCAGCACGTCTCCTTATCAATACGAATCGAGTGTTCTTTGAATTATTCAAATTGCTTCATCCGTGTTCCCGAAATCGTCGACGAAAATTTGTATCCGCACACATACATACACGCGCACATACACACACACACACACACATACATCCATTTTCTAAGCTATGCCAAAATGTTCAGAAGGTTTTGAAACGTAAAGATATATAAAAATTTTCATTTTCGATTTTTTTGCGATTACTATAACTTGCCCTACGGAAAGTTAAAAATATTTTATGAAAAATAAAAAAATATGTAATAATTTTTTATTCTCAAAAGCAATTGTTTTGTCAATACGAGCAGAGTTTTTTTTTTAGATGATTCGAATCGGACGCTTAGTTCACTCAAAAACTGCCATTTGTATTTTCTGAAATGTTCTTGAATGTTTTTAGATCAATCAAATCGGATACTCCGTTCTCTCAAAAACTCGATTTGTATTTTCTGCACATTTTGCTTCGTTAATTAATTAATTAAAAATACTTGTTTTATAATTATAGAATCAGTTTTATCAAAAGAGCCCGTGTGAAATAATTTTTTCATATGCGATATCAATGTAGAAAGTCTTCAAATTTTCAAAATGTGGCAACCTTAAAGGTTGAGAAACACTGGTATACCGCGTCCTTGTTATATGACATTTGATTAAAAAGACACTGACGTAACCATAAATTTTAATTCTGCTATAAATCCTTATTGTTCTATCATCAATCAATTACCAATATATCTATTTCCCTTCACAGAATGTCCAAAACCGACGAAACCATCACCCGCCGCCACCGCCACCGCCAAATCCGCGAAATTAACAAACGGTCAACACAACACCAACGGTCAGCACCACCAGCTGAAGAAGGAGAATGGTGACTCTGTCATCAAAAAGGAGGACGGCGGCGACACCGACACAACCACCGCCGCCGCCACGACCACCACGACAATGACCAATGGAACCAATGGAACTGTCTCCGCAACCGCCGCCACTGGAACAACCCCAAATGGCACGGAGACGGTCAGTGCAGCCGGCGGCGACCAGAAGAAGGAGGACTCTCACCAGGAAGTTGTGTACATACAGGATTTAGGGTTCACGGTGCAGATTGTGGCGCCTGGTGCGGAACCTTTTGATATACAAGTGTCTAGTATGGAACTTGTGCAGGAGATACACCAGTAAGTAGAATGGGAAATATATTGTTGATTTAAGGGGGTTGTTCGGTTTTTATTTATTTTTTTCGATTTTGAGATTTTTTGATATTATGAAAGCTAAAATCCTTAGAATTATTTTAAAAGAAAATCATCTCAATATCTATTTTTTTGACGAAGTTAGATATATATATATATATATATATATATTAACAAAGTCTGATAATCGGGCATAACATCAATAAAAAACATGAATTTCTTTCAAAAATTTATTTTAAATCCATACGTTTCGGCTATAATCCTAGCCTTCATTCAGTGGAAACTAAAAATAAAATTAAAAACTAAAACAATTGAATTGGAGTGAAAAGAAAAAAATAAAATAGTAATTAGTACTTACAATTAGTTGATCTTAGTGTTAAATTGGAAAATTTTAATAATCCATGGTATTAGGATATGGTAATGCACTACACTATGTATTATAAACATTAACTTGAAATTACACAATATTTTCACAAAATACTGATTTGAAAAAATCACAAATGAATAGTGTGTTATTCATTTGTGATTTTTTCAAATCAGTATTTTGTGAAAATATTGTGTAATTTCAAGTTAATGTTTATAATACATAGTGTAGTGCATTACCATATCCTAATACCATGGATTATTAAAATTTTCCAATTTAACACTAAGATCAACTAATTGTAAGTACTAATTACTATTTTATTTTTTTCTTTTCACTCCAATTCAATTGTTTTAGTTTTTAATTTTATTTTTAGTTTCCACTGAATGAAGGCTAGGATTATAGCCGAAACGTATGGATTTAAAATAAATTTTTGAAAGAAATTCATGTTTTTTATTGATGTTATGCCCGATTATCAGACTTTGTTAATACATATGTCAACATCAAATTCAGAATCATACAAAATATATATATATATATATATATATATATATATATATATATACACCTAAGTCTGTTTTTACACGGAGATTGGTTCCAGAAGAATCCGTGTAAAAGAAAAACGTGTAAAAAAAGACATTGATCTTATACAAAAATGGGTGATTTGTTCCTAATCTCTAAAACCTATTAAAATTGGTGAAAAACAAGAATTTTTAAGAACAAGAATTAAATTAGTGCTATTCACATTTGCTTTGACCAGTAAAAATTGTTTGTACGCGCTAAAGGGGAATTCACTTAAATCTTTAGGCTAGTGTTCGCAAACTATCGAAACTATCGATGGTTTCAGACTTTTTTCTTTCATAAATACTTTTTTGTGATATGAATATACTTCGCAAAAATTTAATTTGACAAAAAAAATTTAGGTACATAAAATTTCAAATCGTGCTAAATGGAATAAATTCGTGTAAAAAAATTAAAAATATTCAATTTTCAAACCGTGTTATATCAAAACCGTGTACAAAAAGACCGTGTAAAAACAGACTTAGGTGTATATATATATATTATATATCTATCGCTATTGTATGCCAGCTGCTCTCTTCTTTTCATTATAATACCTCATGCACGTGACCTTTTTAATGTGTCTGTGAACATCATGGTGTATTTAGTACATTAAATTAAATGGTGTATTTAGTAGTACATTATATTAAAAACTTTAAATACGTTTTTCTCAAATTCACTTTTTTCAATGCGGTGCCACAAACTAAAAAAAACTACAAGTCGGATCGACTTGCATTTTTTTAATTTGTTCACCACTATTTGTGGCACCGCAAAAGAGATCGATTTTGCAATGCCCACTTTGGCGCCCCCTAGTTAAAAAATGACGGCGAAAAAAAAATTAAAAATTTCTTAATATTCTATGATTCTGTAATTTTTGTTTAAAAAAACCGCATGTCTTTATGATAAATACATTTGGAGAAAAACAAAAACAAATACCTTGCATCTTTTGTAACAAAAAAACGAACAACTCCCTTAATTCAAATTTATCTTATAAGGTAAACGGTACCATATTACGGGATGTTAAGGAACGTTTGACTTTTAAGACGATTTTTAGAGAAAATAGGAAAGTAGACGAATTAAATCTGTTATATTTTATTAATTAGACTTTTAAGATTATTATAAAACAAGATTTTTCGTCGTAGAACGTCATTTATAGAAATAATCGGCATTTTGGTGAACCACGCGTTTGTCCCTAATTCCGTGATAAAAATCGGCTCGTGAACATAAAGCCGGGACTCCCAGGACAACTAGTGTGAAATTTTCAAAAAATCGAATTCTCAATTTTTTCATTTTTCGATAGTAAAACACCTTTAAAAATAACATACCAAAATTTTAAATCGATATCTTAAATAGTTTTTGAGTCACAGCCATTTAAGGGGAACAACTAGTGTAACCGCCTAAAAAAAGGTGATATTTGTGAATTTATATTAAAAAACTACTTTATCAATCATTTCAATTTCAAATTTTAGGAATATATTTATACATGTTTTAAGAATACATAGTAAAATTTTTGAAGAAAAAAATCAAATATTTTTTAAGTTATCGTCGATCTCCAACGGCGCGACAAAAAAGGCCCTTCACTGCTGCAGTGATTCCGGCCTTCTACGTGGATGAAATCAAAAAAAATAATTCTCGTTAAACTAGATAATCTTGTCTGTACAATGAACTACGACGAAAAAAATAAATCAAAAATTGACAAAATGGCGGCGTTTTTAAAAAAAAGTTGAGTTTTACTCAAAATTTTGGTCGTTTTTCGACTGCCAAAATTCGATTTTTGATCCGACCAAAAAATCGATAGTTAATTTTACGGAGAACTATATAAAGAACAAGTAAAAAAAAATTGATAGTAATCGGATCATTTGTTTTTGAGTAATCACTGCAGCAAATTCGGAAAATGCTGTTTCGAGAAAAACGCGTTTGAAGATAAAATAATCGTTATACTTATATAATATATATATATATATATATATATATATATATATATATATATACTCTTTTAAATGGATGTACCTCAAAAACTATTTGATATATCGATTTGAAATTTTAATGTTATTTTTAAAGGTGTACTCTACCGAAATATGAAAAAACAAAAATCAATTTTTTCGAAAGTTCACACTAGTTGTGACCTTAATCACTTAACGGTCTTTTTTTTTCGTGAAAAGTGATCTAAAAGAGCAGGTTTTTTTATTGCGGATTTTAAAAGTTTAATTGATGTAATATGTGTTTCTGATAACATTTTCTCTTTATTTATTTTCTTTTTGTTTAAAATTCACAATATATATTATAATACTGATGACCGTTTTGATGATTTTTGGACTACCGTTTATGCTCTATGTATAAACTATTGTGTTATAATATAATAATACGAAATTTATATTTAATAACTCTTAAATTTTAATAATATCTATTTATCCAAAAAGAATATAACAAATTTTTAAACAAATAAGAAAATTCAAGGTTCTAGTGAAAAATTCATGTACATTCACTAATATATCTCAAGGACAAGAAGTATTACTTATTTAATAATTTATATTATAATAATAATAAAATATTATCATATGATGGATTTCGAAACATTTTTCCACGGCCCGTTTTAAAAAAAAGCGTTTTGTCAATCTCAGCGGATTCGAGGTATTGCTTAACCACCTTTTGATAAAAAAAATTTCTGCATTATATTTTTCAATGAGTTTGATAAGCACGACCCTTCGTAAATTTATTAATTATTGACCCTTTCCACTCGCACATTGCAAATTTTTGCCGGCATCCGCTTCGAAAGAGTTAAAAACTGATAACAATCGAAATAATTCATCAGAACAATAAAAATTGTCAACTTACCCATGGTTTCATTAAATTTATAACAATTTATGAAGATGTTAGCAGATTAGTGTATTTACAATCGATAATTCTCGCCTCTGATATCCCCATATATATCAGTATATTACAAATGTATAAATATAATTATTATAAATTTTTGATTCGCACAAGAAATAACTTTATATGCAAAATCTTGTACATTTCATGGGCATTTCATTACTCGTGAAATGCAAGTAATTTTTTATTTACTTGTAGCATCAATTGGAAAAAAATTGTGGTGCAAAAATGGGATTTTTCAACCAACACATGTATTGTGTTGTATTTGTTTTCCAGAATTTCAAAAAGAGTATTTGACATTTGTACTCATATCAATTTCAATTTCATCCCCGAATTCAAATCGTCTTTCTGATTCCAAACTAATAATCGATCATGTAGAAATCCTTCCTGAACTATATAAATTCATCAAGTATTTATAAAGTAACACATAAACTACAAGAATATATTGTAATGGAAGTAATTGAGGTCCATACTTAATATTTTCGGGGAAATAAAAACAAATTCAACAATATATAATTATTAGAGCAAATGTACGTGTAAAAACTCTGAAAGTTAAAAACAAAATAGATTGATTCTTGCCTAAATGGAGATAAAACACTCCAGTGTGATCTTCAATTGATTCCTATCAAAAATAACACAAACATATAACAATAACATGTCCCTTGATGAATATTCAGAAAGGCGGTTTTTACATGTTTATTTCTAATCTCAAAAGTCGTTAAAGATTGATTTATTATATATACAATTCTTAATTGACCTGTACTTATCATATCTAAACTAAACATATCCCAACAACGGGCCATTGTAAGCCTTTTATCGCATAAAATATAAACATTAACTTTGGCGAGCAGCGCTCGGGTTAGCCCGCTAGGATACGACATCTAGGCGCGAACAGTGTTTGTGCGTGACCGTTAAGTGGTTAATATAAATTTCCAAAAATCACCTTTTTTTAGGCGGTTACACTAGTTGTGCTCCTTAATTCAAAATTATCTTACAAATGTATCCTTTTCCCCCCAGGTTGCTGATGGACCGTGAAGACACATGTCACCGAACCTGCTTCTCTCTGCAGCTCGATGGAAACACCCTTGACAATTTTGCAGAGCTCAAGAACATCGAAGGGCTGAAAGAGCGATCCGTCATAAGGGTCGTCGAGGAGCCCTACACAATGCGGGAGGCCCGCATTCATGTCAGACACGTGCGGGATTTACTAAAGAGTGCAGATTCATCCGATGCCTACAATGGGACAGAATGCAGTTCCTTGTGCTTCCTTAACGCCATCACACAAGGCGATATTTTGGAGAAGAAGAGGGCGAGGCAGGAAAGTGTAGTTGATTGTACGCCGCCGGATTTCATTATGCCGTCGGTTGGGTCGCATCTGCCGCTACTGCCTTTGCAGCCGAATGCGAGGGAACCGAAGGCTGCACCGTGTATAAAGGTAATAAGAAAACTAGTGGTGTATATGGCATCGTGCCTTAACGCAAATTGCTGGTACCGTAATGAAATATTCGAGAAATTTTAAACGTGGTATTACAAATACTGTAACATTCATTATTTTTGCTATCTTGTTACATCTGAGAACATAACAATCGCCATTTCATTTCGAATTTAATTTGAAAAAGAAATAGTTGCCAAATTTACACAAAATTGAAAAAGTGCTCCCGTATAGTCACAGTCTAAACGCATTTGCAAATAATTCTGTGCGACATTTACACTTATACTGTGCTCAGCTTGGCGGCATTTTCACATTTTTCAATAGTTTTTAACACAAAATTGGACAAGTGCTCCAGTACATAAATAGTCTAAACGCACTCGGATGAACATTTGTACCAGATGGCACTTAGACTGTGCTTATCCTAGGTCATTTTTAGAATTTTTGTATTTAGTATTTTTCATCATCAACTGTATTTCACCAGACATGAAAATAAAAAGGACTCTACTGACAAGCAAACTATATTTTGCATTATATGAACTGACGAACAAACTGAAATACTCGTCTGCTCGTCAGTAAAGTCCTCTTTTATATAATTTTAGCTTTTGCTCGTTAGTAGAGTCCTTTTATTAATTCTAGATTGGTTTGCTCGTCAGTAGAGTCCCTTTTTTTAATTCTAGATTAAGTTTGCTCGTCAGTAGAGTTGCTTTTTTGTATATTTTAGCTTTAGCTCGTAAGTAGAGTCCTTTTATTAATTTTCTAGCTCTTGCTCGTCAGTAGAGTCCCTTTTTTGTATATTAACTTCCCGTAGGGTAAGTTATTGTAATGGGCCGAAAATCGGAATTGAAAATTTTTACATTTCTCGACGTTTTGAAGGTTTCTGAACATTTTGGCATACTGCAGAAAAAATGGATGTGTGTGTGTGTGTGTGTGTATGTATAGATACAATTTTTCGCCCACGTTTTCGGGCGTACGGATCAACCGATTTGAATGGTTCAAAAAACATTCGATTCCTATTGATAGGGAGATGTGCTGATTAGTTTTTGGCAAAGGCAGGTCCAGCAGTTACGGAGATAAAGAGCAAAGAGTGCAGAAAATAGAAATCGAGTTTTTGAGAGAACGGAGCATCCGATTTGAATGATCTAAAAAACATTCAATTAGTAATGATTGGGAGAAGTGGTTATTAGTTTTTTGCAAATGGCAGTTTTTGAGAGAACTAAGCGTCCGATTTAATTGATTCAAAAAACTTTCTGCTTGTCTTAACAAAATAATTGATTTTGGAAAAAAAATTCATTTTTTTTTTCTTTTTTTTAAAAAAAAAAATGTTTTGTATATCGAAAATAATCCGATTTTTTTTTAATTCTGACTATAGTTCTAATATACTTCAAACAATAATTTCAACTCTGCAATTAAGTTTATATAATATTTATAAATATTAGACAATGTTACAATATTTATAATAACTATTTGAAAACATTCAGTATTCCTCGAACATTTCGTTACGGTACGGGAAGTTCCAGCAATTTGCCTAAGGCACGATGCCAACCCACCACACTAGTTTTAGCTTAGCTTGTCAGTATAGTCCTTTTATTAATTCTCTATCCTTTGCTCGTCAGTAGAGTCTCTTTTTGTATATTTTAGCTTTATCTCGTCAATAGTCCTTTTATTAATATTCTAGATTAAGTTTGCTCGTCAGTAGAGTTCCTTTTTTGTATATTTTAACTTTAGCTCGTCAGTATAATTACTTTTTTGTATATTTTAACTTTTGCTCGTCAGGTAGAGTCCTTTTATTAATTTTCTTGCTCTTGCTCGTCAGTAGAGTTCCTTTTTTGTATATTTTAGCTTTAGCTTGTCAGTAGAGTCCTTTTATTAATTTTCTAACTTTTGCTCGTCAGTAGAGTCCCTTTTTGTATATTTTAAACTTTTGCTCGTCAGTGTAGTCTTTTCAATAATTTCCTAGCTTTCATCTCTGAGAAGAAAAAGGACTCTACTGACGAGCAAATTTAAATTTCAGTACAAAAAGGGACTCTACTGATGGGCAATTGAGAATTTCAATAGAAATGGGAACTCTACTGACGTACAAATTAAAATGTCAATAGCAAAAAGGGACTCTACTGACGAGGAAAATTAAAATTGCAATACAGTTGCCAATAATTCTGTGCGACATTTTCACTTATACTGTGGCTTAGGTTGGCGGCATTTTTATATTCTTAAATAATTTTCACAAAATTGGAAAATTACTCCAGTACATCAATAGTCTAAACGCACTTGGTTGAAACATTTGTACCAGGGTGGCGCTTAGCCTGGGTAATTTTTTGAATTTTTAATCAAATTACAAAAATATTTTCATGGAAAATAAAAAAAAGATGTAATAATTTTTTATCCTCAAAAGCAATTGTTTTGTCAATACAAGCAGAAAGTTTTTAATCATTCAATCGGCCGCTTAGTTCACTCAAAAACTGCCATGTTTGCGCATTTAGCTCCGTATCTCCGAAACGTCTAGGCCTGTCTTTGGAAAAAAACTAATCACCACTTCTCCTCATCATTACAAATTAAATGTTTTTAGATCATTTCAATTCCGATACTCCGTTTCTCAAAAAACTCTATTTGTACTTTCTACAATCTTTGCTCCGTATCTGCGTAACGGCTGGACCTGCCTTTGCAAAAACTAATCACACATATACATATTAATAGGGATGGAATGTTTTTTAAATCATATCCTTAACTAAAAACTCATTCAACTTTTTTCTTTCTATTACCCCCAGGTTCTTACTACTACCTCGGCTGGAATCCGCCGCCCGGTCATCGCAAAATGCACGGCGACCTGCTTACTTGCAAGTGCGTAACAGCCGAAGATCGCCACCTGCACATAACTGCCTGCGCCAGAGGATTCTACGTCAATCAATCACATGCGAAGAGTTCAATCCGAGACCAGCTTCGCCTGGACACCTGTGCCATTCCCTGATCGATCCCTGGGTCAAGTTTCGCCCATATTAAGAGGGTCGTTCGCCGCCATGCAGAGGAAAGAGGACGTCGAGGCATCCTTTCGAGAGGGTCGCCACACACCGTACCAGGTAATAAGAAAAATTCAAATTTAAATTTAAATTTTAAGTTTAAATTTCTTATATATATATAAAATGTCAGAAGAAAAATACTTCGGGTATAGATAATTAGTCAAATCTGGATGGACAACTACTGGGTTGCCATCCGTGCAAGATTCATATAATAAGAAAAGTTCAAAACAATTACTCAATGTCTTAAATATGTGTGACAGATTGTAATTAAATAAATAATTTGAAAAAAACCTTACATCGCTCAACGAATTTTATTGAAGTAAAATTCTTTAGGCGCGACTAGGGTGTAAATCCGTACAAATGCAACGGCAATGCGTTTACGCTCGAGTCGAGTCGAGTACCAATGATTCGTCATTCCGTCTCGATGATATCATTATATACGGGTCGATCGTGATTAGTCGTCGTGTATGTGAATAGATCTGTCGTTGTATGCGTTCCGATATCAACAAGGAATCATCATAGATAAATAAACATTTTTAAAGTTACGTCGTAGTACAAAAAATCCAGATTTAATGAAAAATGTTAGAATCAGAAGAATATTTTACATTGTTCCTTGAAAATAATAAAACAAATTAAACATTTGTGCCGTATGTGTACTGAACGTTAGTTGTTGATTAGAAATTATTTCTATATTATTCGTAAATAAAGAGACTTTACTGACAATGAAACTGAAAATGCAAAAAGGAGGGGACTCTACTGACGACCAAACTAAAAATATATATTCGAAGAGACTCTACTGATGATTAAATTAAAGTTAAAGGTAAAAGGGACATACTACGAGAGGATACTGAAATAAAATTAAAAAGGGACTATACTGACGAGCAAAACTAAAAAAAAAAAAAATAAACTCTACTGATCTAAATATTAAAATGAAAGAAAATGGGACTTTACTGACAAGCAATCTAAAAATAAAATTCAAAGAGACTCTACTGATGATTAAATTAAAATTAAAGGTAAAAGGAACTCTACAGAAGACCAAACTAAAAATGAAAAAGAGAGGAGGATTCTACTGACGAGCAAACTAAAAATTAAAGAAAAAGGGACTCTACTGAAGACCAAACTAAAAATGAAAAAGGGAGGGGGACTCTACTGACGACCAAACAAAAAATGAAAAAAGGAGGGAGACTCTACTGATGATTAAATTAAAGTTAAAGGTAAAAAGGACTCTACTGACGAGCAATCTAAAAATAACATTGAAAAGGGACTCTACTGACGAGCAGAACTAAAAACAAAAAAAAAATAAACTCTACTGATAATTAAATTAAAAATGGAAGAAAATGGGACTCTACTGACGAGCAAAACTAAAAATAAAGACAAGGGGGCCTACTGAAGACCAAACTAAAAATGAAAAGGGGAGGAGGACTCTACTGACGAGCAGTCTAAAAATAATATTGAAAAGGGACTATACTGACGGCGCAAAACTAAAATTAAAATAAAAAATGGACTTATAGTTTCTATAAATCTTTGAAGTTATTAAAATGGAAAATATTTCTTATGCAAAATAGATATTACAGCTGTTTAAATAATAAGCGAAAAAGTAAAAAAAATACAAGCAGTCAATGAATGCATGTTAATTTTAATTACATGAAGTTCTTCGAACACAATTATTACATGATGAGTGAAGTTACGAAAACAATATTTGTTTAGGCATTGTTTAACAAATATTATAGAATTTATTATACAACAATTACTTCATTTCTCTAATGAAGGTTCAAGTCCTAAATGCTAATTACAATGACAAACCGTTCATGTCATATTTGAAGAATGACTTTAATTAATTTGGTTTTGTTTGTTTTCGAATGCAATTTCAGAGTATACCAAGTTGTTGTAGGGCATTGTGTTGTTAGAAAAAAATATAGATTATTTAATTTTGTACGAATTTGCCAAGTATACCATTAACTTTTAGCGAATAGTTTAGGAGTTATAATTTTTTAATTAAAATTACCACTTCTTTACGAATTTGATAATTCTGTAACAGTCTGTTTTCTAATGCAGTTTATGAGTATACCAAGTTGTTGTAGGGCATTGTGTTGTTAGAAAATGTTGTAGACTACTTAATTTTGTACAAATTTACCGAAGATATGTTTTGATTCTATCAAATAGTTTAGGAATTATAAATAATTTAAACGAAATTAGTGATGTTTCCTTGTTCGCAGGTTTCACCTTTTGGTATGAGTACAATTAATTTGTTTCCTAATGCAGTTTATGAGTATACCGAGTTGTTATAGAGCATTTTGGTGTAAAAATTCATAGACTATTCAATTCTGAATAAATTTGTGAAACATTATATTCAGATCCAACGCGTGATTCTAAAGTTATAAAATAAATTGTAAACAAATGCATAAAATGCATTCCAACTGGGGACAAGCTTAGACTTGAAATGATTTCTTATTTTTGATAACGATTTTAAAGTATACCGAGTTACAATGTTATACAACTTAATTTGCCGAATTTTTTTTTTAATATTATACACATTTTTAATGCTATTATAAATATACAATTTATAATTTATAATTATATAAATGTGTATAATCGTTGACACTAATAAATGTGTGCATCACGAGTGTTACCATATTACTGATAAACATTATTCTAAAATTGTTATATGATGTATTTATTTTACTTAGATACCATTTTGTACAGTAGCAAATAATTTTTACTTCAATCGCGTGTGAACCTTATTCGCACTCTTTTTTATTTATTTTTTTTTCAATGGCTTTATTTTTTCTTAGGTTTACAGTTGGACAGCTCCCCAACTCGAGCACACAGTCGACGCAATCCGCGCCGAAGACACCTTCAGTTCCAAACTGGGCTACGAAGAGCACATCCCTGGCCAGACCAGAGACTGGAACGAGGAACTCCAAACAACAAGGGAACTACCTCGCAAAAACTTACCCGAACGTCTTTTGCGAGAAAGAGCAATCTTCAAAGTCCACAGCGATTTCGTGGCGGCCGCAACCAGAGGAGCAGTCGCAGTCATCGACGGTAACGTAATGGCCATTAATCCAGGGGAAGAGGCGAAGATGCAGATGTATATATGGAATAATATATTTTTCTCGCTTGGTTTTGATGTCAGGGATCATTATAAGGATTTGGGAGGCGATGCTGCCGCTTTTATAGCGCCCATGAACGATTTGCAAGGTGTACGAGTGTACAGTGCGGTGGATCATGAAGGGTTGTACACACTGGGCACTGTTGTAGTTGACTATAGAGGTTATAGAGTAACTGCACAAAGTATTATTCCTGGTATTTTGGAACGCGAACAGAACAGTCTGTTGTATACGGTTCCATAGACTTCGGTAAAACTATTTTATCCAACACCGAATACTTAGAACTTCTAAGCAAAGCCGGCCAACAGCTCAAAATCTTACCACATTCAGTTTACGACGAAAGTGGTAAAGCTGTTAAACTTTGTTCATCAGTCGAGTGTAAAGGTATAATCGGCAACGATGGACGTCACTATATTTTGGATTTGTTGAGAACCTTCCCACCGGACGTAAACTTTTTGAAACTAGATGACGAAGAGTTGGCTGCTGAAGTTAAAGCACAAGGATTTCCCATCGAACACAAGCACAAACTTTGTTGTTTGCGCCAAGAGTTAATCGATAGTTTTGTTGAAACCAGGTACATGTCGTTTATCAAAATCGCTGCTTTCCATTTACAACAGTTGGGAGCGACCAAAAAAACAGCCGTTAAAGCTATCGATGACAATAAAGAGAATAAAGAGGCTAACGCCGAAGGCGTTAGCGCAGAAACCAAAAAAGACGAGAAGGATGATAAAACAGAGTCCGCCGAGTGCACAGATGAAGCCAAACAAATGGTAGAAAAAATCACAGGAGGCGAAAAGAAAGACTTGGAAGAAACCACCAAAGAAATCGTTCAACGCGCAGCCAAAGCCGTCGGTTCCTTAAAAGACACCGAATTCGATATCCGTTTCAACCCCGATTCATTTTCTCCCGGTATCAAACATTGTGAAGAAGATGGACCGCCGCTGGTGGAACAGAGACGTCTGGTTAAGGATGCTGCACAATTTTTATTAACCGTACAGATTCCTAATTTTATTGCCGACTGTATGGATCATTCTTCGGCGCCTATGGACGGCGTTACGTTGTCGGAGTCTTTGCACAATAGGGGTATCAATATTAGGTATTTGGGTAAGGTTGCTGATCTTTTGAGCAAAGTCAACACCTTGACGTACTTGCACAAGATTGCTGTGTCTGAACTGCTCCTGAGGGCTGCCAAGCACATTTTCACAGGATACATGCAGGTAATAGATACAAAATTATAAATACAGTAGAACTCCAATTATCCGAATTAATGGGGACCGGGACCGATTCGGATAATCAAATATTCGGAGTTTTTTTTTAAAAATTGCCATTGGAAAGAAAAAAAGTTACGTTTTTATATTGCACTATTTTTTTCATTGAATTAAATGAAAGAAACATGACATTTTCACATGTTTTAAATATAAATAAAATGTACTTATGTACAAGTTTAGAAATAAAAATCATTGTTTTGTAAACATCTCCGTCAAATCAAAACAAACAATGTGCCTACACTGGCTTTGCTGGTGGAAGAATAATAGCGCACTTAGACTTTTTTTGGACAATTTTTTTCTGAAAGTGTTTCGGATAATCGGCGATTCGGATAGTCGGAGTTCGGATAATTGGATTTCGGATGATTGGAGTTTGGATAATTGGAGTTCTACTGTACCTAATTCAGTGGTTTCTAACTTGTGGGGCGCGCCTTTCCAGGGGCACGCAAACGGTATTTTACAAAATACTATTTATAAAAAAATAAATTAAAATAATAATTTTTTATGCATATTTCTTATAAATTTGTAGTCTGATAGTATCAGTTGCAGTTGCAGCATTTTTTTTTATGAGAGCGGGGGGGGGGGGTCGCGATGCACAAAAATTTGGAAACCACTGACCTAATTCATTGGGCATTGTACATTTTCAGACAATTTTATTTATTTTATTACTTCCCGTAGGGCAAGTTATAGTAATCGCAAAAAAATCGAAAATGAAAATTTTTATATATCTTTACGTTTCAAAGGTTTCTCAACATTTTGGCATACCTTAGAAAATGTATGTGTGTGTGTGTGTATGTATGTGCGGATACAAATTTTCGTCGACGATTTCGGGAACACCGATCAACCGATTTGAATAATTCAAAGAACATTCGATTCGTATTGATAAGGAGACGTGCTGATTAGTTTTTGGCGAAGGCAGGTCTAGTCGTTCTGAAGATATGGGGCAAAAAGTGCCAAAAACCGGTACCTGAGTTTTTAAGAGAACGGATCGTCCGATTTTACTTGTATTGACAGGATGAAGAATTGATCAAATTTTCATAAAGGCAGATCTAGCGGTTTCGGAGATCTGATAAAAAAAGTAAAAAAAATGCCATTTGGCGCTCAAAAATGATCATTAGACATATGCACATCAAATTATCAGATATTTTATAGAGATCTTAACAATAAGTATAAATTTGTTTACATTCCTATGGGTTCCGTACCAATGTTTACGCGTTAGACGGCGACGCGGCGCTTACGCGCTTTGATATTTTGTCTTTATGCAGTTAAAGCAGCACGATTGCTTTGAAAAAGTTTAGATCTTCCAAAATATGTCAAAATGAAGAAAAATTTTTTTTTTCAAAAAGAAAATTAAAAAAATTTTTTTTTTAATTTTTTTTTTCAAAAAAAAGTAATGTTTTGTCCATTTTATAGTTTCTCAAAAATCTTATTTTTTCGAAGTAAAATTTTTTCAAAAATGTTAATCGTTTTTAAAAAAATAATTTTTGGTACGGGAAGTTCCAGCAATTTGCCTTAAGGCACGATGCCTTAATTGCCTTAAGACAGAATTCCACTTACAGCTAGTTTTTTTTAGTGATTCTTGCTGTTATCTTGTCTTCTCCAGGTGCAGCGTTATTTTTCAGATTTTCAACATTATTTTTATTTCTTTCTCATCTGTTAATTCAAAAATTTGGATTTTATATTTAGGTCTGTGTATTGATGGTTTATAGTTGCAATGATCCATTTTTTTTTGTAGTTTCATACCTATCTCAGCAAAATATTTAATGTCTTTCTTTTCTGTAAGAAATATATTTTTATTCTTACTTTATATTTTTTCAACATAAAATTTGAACAACATTATTCGATAACTAATAATTATCCTTTTCCCCTAGTCTGCTGACCCCATGAGTCTCTCCTTCGCAGTCAGCCATTTCCTAAACTGTCTGCTATGCAGTGCCCCCATATCATCCCCAGCCACCAGTGGCGTCGAAGAACTACAGAGCAAGACTGCCAAACGCAGAAACAAGCGCAACAAGAATGGAACTCTGAACAATAGGACAACAACCAACGAGTGGGCACTCCTGACACAGAAGTCTCTCTGGACACAAATCAGGAATGAACTGAAGTCCTACTGGGATTTCGAACCGAAGGCTGACAGCTTGGATGGGTTCATTGAGAATTACGGGTTGCTGAAGATCAGCTTGTTGAGGTAGTAAAGGATAGTAGTAATAGAAGTATGGTAGTAATAGAAGTATGGTTCCAAGGTAATGTTTGTGTTTGTTTTAGATCTTTCTGCATCAAAGTTGGACTACAAATTTTATTGAGAGACTATAATTTTGAATCTAAGAACAAGGCAACATTTTTTGAAGAGGATATCATCAATATATTCCCTGTTGTTAAACATATCAATCCAAGGGTAAGAATTGAATGAAACAGGTTTACCATGGCAATCGGCGTTGTCATGGCAACGCTAACTGTAAAAGTGCCTCTATTTGCGTTGCCATGACAACGCTGTTTCATGAGGCAGATTGTACCCTTTAATTAAGTAGTTTGTATTATTATCAATTACATTTTAGGCAAAAGATCCAAGAGTAAGAATTGAAAGAAACAGGTTTACCTGGCAATTGGCATTGTCATAGCAACGCTATCTTGTTAAAAATGCCGCTATTTGCGTTGCCATGACAACACAATTTTATGATCCAGAATTTTCCCCCTTAATCAATGATAGTTTGTATCATTTATCAATTACATTTTAGGCAACAGATGCATACAACTTCTACACAACCGGTCAGACTAAAATTCAGCAGGGCTACTTAAAAGACGGTTACGAATTAATATCAGAAGCCCTAAATCTTTTAAACAATGTCTATGGAGCAATGCATCCAGAAATTGCACAATGTCTAAGAATGATTGCTCGTCTGAATTATATCATGGGGGAACACCAGGACGCTATGGCCTATCAGCAGAAGGCTGTGCTCATGAGCGAAAGGGTCAATGGAATCGATCATCCTTATACGATTACAGAATATGTAAATAAAATAGATACTATATTATTTTTTTTTTGTTACTGGAATTTTGTTATAGTTTTGTTTGTAATTTTTGCAGGCACATCTTGCACTCTACTGTTTTGCAAATAGTCAAGTAATCACAGCCCTGAAATTACTATATCGTGCCAGATATCTTGCATTGTTGGTCTGTGGTGAAGATCATCCAGAAATTGCACTTCTAAACGTGAGTATCACCACAAAAATAAAATTAAACTAATGGACCGATTCTGCACACAATAGACAAATGTTATGGCAAGGCCATGTTACTCTCCAACTTCATGCTACTGAATCATACTGAATACTGTCAAAATGTTATGTTATGAAGCTGGGTCAGAAAGACCCTGTCATCTAACATTGTTTTTTTGTCATTTGTGCGGTTTCTACTAGGTTTTTTCTATCTGACAATATTATTCATTTATTCTCTATTTTTCATTTTTTAATGTTCAGAACAAATTTTTTTGCAAAAAGTACTTTGATATTGATTTTATAAAAAAAAGGCTATCTTGGTTTGACTATTGTTGCAAATCCAGTGCATTTTTTTTATATTTATCATTATTTAGTTAATAATTTGTTCGAAAGCATAAAAACTATTATATGCCATTAGAAAGCTTATAGAATTTTTAAAAATGTACATTTTTCATTTTTCAATGTTCAGAACAAATTTTTTTGTAAAAAGTACTTTGATATTGATTTTATAAAAAAAGCCAATTTGGTTTGACTATTGTTGTAAATCTAGTGCATTTTTTTATATTCATCATTATTTTGTTAATAATTTGTTCAAAAACATAAAAAATATTATACGCCATTAGAAAGCTTATAAAATTTATTAAAAATGTACATTTTTCATTTTTCAATGTTCAGAACAAATTTTTTTGTAAAAAGTACTTTGATATTGATTTTATAAAAAAAGCCAATTTGGTTTGACTATTGTTGTAAATCTAGTGCATTTTTTTTATATTTATCATTTTGTTTGTTAATAATTTGTTCAAAAGCATAAAAACTATTATATGCCATTAGAAAGCTTATAGAATTTCTTAAAAATGTACATTTTTCATTTTTTAATGTTCAAAACAATATTTTTTGTAAAAAGTATTTTAATATTGATTTTATAAAAAAAAGCCATCTTGGTTTGACTATTGTTGTAAATCCAGTGCATTTTTTCATATTCATCATTATTTTGTTAATAATTTGTTCAAAAACATAAAAACTATTATATGCTATTAGAAAGCTTATAACATTTCTTAAAAATGTACATTTTTTATTTTTTAATGTTTAAAACAAAATATTTTGCAAAAAGTACTTTGATATTGATTTTAAAAAAAAAGCCATCTTGGTTTGACTATTGTTGTAAATCAAGTGCATTTTTTTATATTTATCATTATTTTGTTAATAATTTGTTCAAAAACATAAAAATATAAACATGTCATTAGAAAGCTTATAAAATTTCTTAAAAGTGTACATTTTTCATTTTTTAATGTTCAGAACAAATTTTTTTGTAAAAAGTACTTTAATATGGATTTTATAAAAAAAAGCCATCTTGGTTTGACTATTGCAAATCCAGTTCATTATTTTTATATTCATCATTATTTTGTTAATAATTTGTTCAAAAACATAAAAACTATTATATGCTATTAGAAAACTTATAACATTTCTTAAAAATGTACATTTTTCATTTTTCAATGTTTAGAACAAAATTTTTTGCAAAAAGTACTTTAATATTAATTTTTTTTAAAAGAAGCCATCTTGGTTTGACTATTGTTGCAAATCCTGTGCATTTTTTTCATATTCATCATTATTTTGTTAATAATTTGTTCAAAAGCATAAAAAATATTATATGCCTTTAGAAAGCTTATAAAATTTCTTAAAAATGTACATTTTTCATTTTTTATTGTTCAGAACAAAATTTTTAGTAAAAAGTACTTTAATTAATATTGATTTCATAAAAGGCCATCTTGATTTAGCAAATTCAGTGAATTTTATCATATTCATCATTATTTTGTTAATAATTTGTTCAAAAGCATAAAAACTATTACATGCTATTAGAAAGCTTATAAAATTTCTTAAAAATGTACATTTTTCATTTTTTATCATTTAAAACAATTTTTTTTGCAAAAAGTACTTTAATATTGATTTTACAAAAAAAGCCATTTTGGTTTGACTATTGTTGCAAGAGCCCAGTGCATTTTTTTATATTTATCATTATTTAGTTAATGATTTGTTCAAAAACATAAAAACTATATTATATGCCATTAGAAAGCTTATAAAATTTCTTAAAAATGTACATTTGTCATTTTTTAATGTTCAAAACAAATTTTTTTGCAAAAAGTACTTTAATATTGATTTTATAAAAAAAAAGCCATCTTGGTTTGATTATTGTTGTAAATCTAGTGCATTTTTTTTATATTTATCATTATTTAGTTAATAATTTGTTCGAAAGCATAAAAACTATTATATGCCATTAGAAAGCTTATAAAATTTCTTAAATATGTACATTTTTTATTTTTCAATGTTCAGAACAAATTTTTTTGCAAAAAGTACTTTTATATTGATTTTATAAAAAAAAAGTCATCTTGGTTTGACTATTATTGCAGGTCCAATGCATTTTTTCTTATTCATCATTATTATAAAATTTCAACATGGCCTTGCCATAACATTTGTCTGTACCCGGCCAATGATTTATTTTCACTGATCTTTCTATTTTTCTTTCAGTGTAACATAAGTCTGATCCTGCACGCGCTGGGCGAATATGATTTAGCTCTAAGATTCCTGGAACAAGCCTTACAATTGAATTCACGTTACTATGGGGCCAAATCTCTGAAAGTTGCAGTCAACTATCATTTAGTCGCCAGGACACAGAGTTGCATGGGAGACTTCAGATCGGCTTTGAATAATGAGAAGGAGACTTACTCGATTTACAAACAGCAGGTAAGGGATAAGGGATGTATAAATCGCATATATAAAGTTTTTAGGTCACAATGTTCATACTTATTATTATCATAATTTATATTCGTATTCAGTAGGCCTGAGAATAGGTTACTATCTATGTTTTATACCCTTAAGTGATAAGGGATGTTCACTCTTAAATATTTTTTTTAAATTTTGAAGTATTTATTGATTTTTTTATGATGTGGCTTTAAAAAATACATACAACTCTAATTTTTTACTTTACTACCACCCTTAAATACTTTTTTTAAATTTTGAGGTGTTTTTTCTTTTTTTTTATAATGTGACTTTAAAAAATACAACATACAACATACAACCCTAAATTTTTACTTTATTATCACCCTTAAATATTTTTTTAAAATTTTGAGTTATTGTAATGGGCCGAAAATCGGAATTGAAAATTTTTACTTGAATGTTTCTGAACATTTTGGCATACTTCAGAAAAAATGGATGTGTGTGTGTGTGTGTATGTATGTATGGATACAAATTTCCAGTCACGTTTTCGGGCGCACGGATCAACCGATTTGAATGATTAAAAAAACATTCAATTAGTAATGATTGGGAGAAGTGTTTATTAGTTCTTGGCAAAGGCAGGCCCAGCCATTTCGAAAATACGGAGCTAAATGTGTAAAAAATGGCAGTTTTTGAGAGAACTAAGCGTCCGATTTAAATGATTCAAAGAACTTTCTGCTTGTCTTAACAAAATAATTGATTTTGGAAAAAAAAATTTGTTCCAATTTTTTTTTTTTTTTTAGTTTTTTGTATATCGAAAATATTTCAGATTTTATTTTATTATTTTATATTAGACAATGATACAATATTTATAATAATCTATTTGAAAACATTCAGTATTCAACGGGAAGTTCCAGCAATTTGCCTTAAGGCACGATGCCATAATTGCCTCAAGACAGAATTCCACTTACAGCTAGTTCAATTTTGTATGAATACTATTGAAAAATGTGAAAATGGCGCCAAGCTAAGCACAGTATAAGTGAAAATGCCGCATAGAATTATTTGCAAATGCTTTTAGACTATGACTGTACGGGAGCACTTTTTCGAATTTTGTGTAAATTAGACAATTTTTTTTTGAAATTGAATTCGAAATGAAATGACGATTGTTAATGTTCTGGAGATAAATTGATTTATTTATGATTTACATTTGAATTCAACTTCTTAGGTTGGCGATGTATAAACTAGTAAAATAGAATTTTATTTTTGAAGTAAAACTTCTTAAGTCGCGATGTGATATAGAGTCTGTTTTGATTAAACATAAAAGAGACAACAGAATATAGTGAGAAAGTCAGAGAAAGAGAGATATATAAAACACTAGTGCGAAAAAGAGCAACATATACCTGACAGTGTAGAAGAGTGACAGAGTAAGATATATGAGTACGATGTGACCACCAAATTTAAGCAACTACCTTTTTAAATGTAAATTTTTGATAAAAGGACAAGAGATACCAATTTTTGTTGTTAATAGAAATTGTAGATAATTTAATTGGCTATGAATTTGCTAAATATTGCAAAATGGTGGGACATTTCGTTTTGAAGTTATAAATAAATAAATAAAAATCGAGCTGGTCCAAAAGTGTGAAGCAAGATATACTGATGCAATCTCCAAAATGTAACAACAACCTGTTTCATTGCAAATTTTGGGTAAAAGGATATGAGATACAACATTTTGTTATTAACAAAAGTTGTAGATAATTTAATTGGCTAAAAATTTGCTGAATATTGCAAAACAATCGGACAATTTGTTTAGAAGTTATAAACAAATAAAAATCGAACCGGTCCAAAAAATATAAAACTGATATATTAAAATGTAGCCTCCTCAATTTTAGTTCTTATAAATGCCGCCAAACTGAGCACAGTATAAGTGAAAATGTCGCACAGAATTATTCGCAAATGCGTTTAGACTGTGACTGTACGGGAGCACTTTTTCGATTTTGTGCAACTATTTTTTTTTTTGAAATTGAATTCGAAATGAAATGACGATTGTTAATGTTCTGTAGATAAATTGATTTATTTATGTTTTACATTTGATTTGCTCAGATATAACAATAAGATAGCAAAAAAATAATGAAAGTTATAGTATTTGTAATAATATATTTGAGAACGTTTAAAATTTCTCGAATATTTCGTTACGGTACGGGAAGTTCCAGCAATTTGCCTTAATGCACGATGCCATACACCACTAGTTTAATTCTTTTTTTTTCTAGTTGGGTGAAAACCACGACAAAACCAAAGAATCCTCAGACTGCCTCCGACACCTCACGCAGCAGGCTGTCGTCCTGCAGAAGAAGATGAACGACCTCTATACGGGCAAACCAGGTTCAGGAGCAGGTTTACCCCCCGTCCAGATCCAGCAGCCCTCAATGGGTTCCGTACTCGACATGCTCAACGTCATCAACGGCATCCTGTTCGTGCAAATCAGGTCTGAGATACACGTTTTAGTCAAATTGTGATGAAAGAAGATGATTGATCGATGATCGATGATGATGATGATGGATATGGTGAATGATTATTGGAATGGAAGAGAGGATGGTTTAAGAATTTATTTTTTTACTAAATGATGGTTATGACTGATGAATGGTGTCGTTGTTGACTTGATGTGAACGAAGATAAATATTTTGTAATTTGTTAAAATGTTATTTTTTGGTTTGTGATAATGTTTGTTTGATTGTTATAGATTTTAAATGGAAATATAATGAACGGTTGTTTGGTATTTTTTTAAAATTGGTTTTATCTGTCGTAGGATAAATGAATATTTTCTAATAATATTATCTGCTTTATATTATTTATTACAACACTTGTATTTCTTTTAAAAAAAAGTTATACTTTTTAATGTGTAACTGAAAAAAGGGTAGAAATTGATATTTAATTATTCCTGTTTTTTTAAGTCATATTTGTTTAAGTGGAGAAATATGCATAAAAATATTTTTGGATATTTATAAAGAAATTATGATGGCTAAAATTAAGATACGAAATGTTAGAGTGCTATTTTTATTAATTATAGCATAGCATAGCATTAATGATAGATCTAGTTAGATATGCAAATTTTTAGAATACGTGCGACATTTTTAGGCTGTTTATAATATTTTTGGGCAGTTTGCAATATTTTTAGACCATTCACGACATGATTAAACTGTTTGAAGTTTTCTAGGGCTGTTTGAAACTTTCTGAGGTTATTCACAACATTTTTGAGATGTTTGCAGCTTTTTTGGGGAGTTTGAAACTCTCTGGGGCTGTTCACAACGTTTTTCTTGGGCTGTTTAAGACATTTTTGGGACGTTTACGGCATAATTGGACTTTTAGAAACTTTATGGGGCTGTCTGAAACTTTCCGGGCCTGTTTACAACATTTTTTTACTTTTTGAAACTTTGTGGGGCTGGTTAAAACTTGCTTAGGATCTCCAAAATTTTCTGGGACTGTCTGAAACTTTCTAGGGTTGTTTGCAACATTTTTGGGCTGCCTGAAACTTTCTGGGGCTGTTTGCAACATTTTTAGACTCTCTGAAACTTCCTAGGGCTGTTTGCAACATTTTTAGGGCTGTCTGAAATTTTTTGGGGCTGTTTGCAACATTTTTAGAACTGTCTGAAACTATCAGGGGCTGTTTGCAACATTTTTGTGGCTGTTTGCAACATTTTTGTGGCTGTTTGCAACATTTTTAGACCGCCTGAAATTTTTTAGGGCTGTTTGCAACATTTTTAGACCGCCTGAATTTTTTTGGGGCTGTTTGCAACATTTTTAGACCGTCTGAATTTTTTTGGGGCTGTTTGCAACATTTTCAGACCGTCTGAAAATTTTTGGGGCTGTTTGCAACATTTTCAGACCGTCTGAATTTTTTTGGGGCTGTTTGCAACATTTTTGGACTGTTTGAAACTTTCTGAGGCTTTTCACGACATTTTTGGGGATATTTAGAACATTTTTGGGGATATTTAGAACATTTTTGGGGATATTTAGAATATTTTTGAGGCTGTTTGCAACATTTTTAAACTGTCTGAAACTTTCTGGGGCTGTTCACAACATTTTTAAACTGTCTGAAACTTTCTGGGGCTGTTCACAACAATTTTTGAGCTGTGTGAAACTTTCTGGGGCTGTTCACAACCTTTTTGAGCTGTTTGAAACTTTCTGATGCTTTTCACGACATTTTTGGTCTGTTTGAAGCTTTCTGAAGCTTTTCACGACATTTTTGAGCTTTTTGAAGCTTACTGAAGCTTTTCACGACATTTTTGGACTGTTTGTAACTTTCTAAGGCTGTTTGCAACATTTTTGGGCTGTTTGTAACTTTGAGGTTCTTTACAACATGTTAAAAGCTGTTTGAAAGTTTTTATGACTGTTTGCAACATTTTGGGGCTGTTTATAACTTTCTGGGGCTCTTTACAACATTTTTGGGCTGTCTGAAATTTTTTATAACTGTTTGCAACATTTTGGGGCTGTTTGTAACTTTCTGGGGCTCTTTACAAAATTTTTGGGCCGTCTGAGATTTTTTAGGACTGTTTGCAACATTTTTGGGCTGTTTGTAACTTGCTGAGGGTCTCTAAAATTTTCTGGGACTGTCTGAAATATTTTTGGAACGTTTGCAACATTTTTAGGACTGTCTACAACTTTTTAGGACTGTCTACAACTTTTTAGGACTGTCTACAACTTTTTAGGACTGTCTACAACTTTTTAGGACTGTCTACAACTTTTTAGGACTGTCTACAACTTTTTAGGACTGTCTACAACTTTTTAGGACTGTCTACAACTTTTTAGGACTGTCTACAACTTTTTAGGACTGTCTACAACTTTTTAGGACTGTCTACAACTTTTTAGGACTGTCTACAACTTTTTAGGACTGTTTTAAACAATTTAGGACTGTTTTAAACAATTTAGGACTGTTTTAAACAATTTAGGACTGTTTTAAACAATTTAGGACTGTTTTAAACAATTTAGGACTGTTCTAAACAATTTAGGACTGTTTTAAACATTTTAGGACTGTTTTAAACTTTTTAGGACTGTTTTAAACTTTATGAGGCTCTTTAAAACTTGCTGAGGTTGTGTCTAAAACTTGCTGGGACTGTTTAAAACTTTCTGGGATCGTTCAAAACTTTTTGAGACATTTATCGTTTAAAGGGCGTTCATTATTCACGTGATCGATTTTTTAAGGATTTTTAGACCATACTTTCCCATTTGAGATGCGTGGTTATATTCAAAATTAACCCTCTTTCACGTTTATTTTCAGTTACAAGAAAAAATTATAAAAATTTTGAATATTTTTCGAAATTTGTTGGATTTAAAAAAAAATATTTTAGCTGAAAAATAAATACACGTGATATTTTGTGAATTTTTTAGAAATCACATTGAAATCATATAACTTGTATATTACAAATAACAATTGATGTTACCATTATTAATTCATATTTCTATTATTACAGTCAACAAGACATCGAGCACTTCAAAGCCGAGATGGACAAACGACAAAAAGAGTCATCATCATCAGCAACAGCAACAGCATTAGCAACATCAGCAACAAGCAGCGAGACAAAAGAAGAAGCGACAACAAATAGCTGAATAAGCAACAACGTTCAAAATTAGTAGAAACAGTTTAGAAAACTTACATTATAAGGCAGACGCAATAATAATTTGCGATTCTTGTGATTTGAAACTAAATCATTGGAATTCATTTTTTATTGCATAGTCGATAGTTGAATTAAATTTATAGGAAAAAAATGGAAAAAACACACTCGGTACAAGAGAGAAACGACTTTTTGCGAGAAGACGACTTGTAGGAGGTAGGTGGTGATAATTTAATGTTTTTACTACGACTGATAATTGGTTGTCAAATATCTCCCTGCCGCCTTTTTGTATTATAAACCAAGAGCAAAAAAGCGGAAGGGAGATATTTGACAACCTAATATTTGTTTTGTAAAGCCTAAATAAAAAATCAATTTCCCATAATACACCTACAAATCGTCTTCGTTAAAATCAAATTAAATTAATAATACATCACATTGATGGTTCGATTTTATTCTCTTTCGACGCGTGTTGATAGAAATTCATGTTCGTTTATTATTTGTCCTTCAGATTGGATTTTTTATAAAATCTGTCTTCTGCTTTTTGTAAAGTAGTCTCATTTGTAAATAATCAAATAGTCGTTTGACACAAGTGAACAATAATTAAGTAACAAACAGGTTTTCATTCTGTTTAAGATATACGTAAGGATGTACGTTTGTTAGTGTAGCCATAAAACATAAAACATGATTCATTTTGTGTATAAAATGTATATACATATATATACGGGAAAACCACAACGTTAATAAATATATATATATATATATATATATATATATATATATATATATTTGCATTTAATGTAAATAATGTAAATGAATTTATTTAATACTATTAATACCGAGTATACAAATGACTATTACTTGGAGCTCTCTGGGGCTGTTTTAAACTTTTTGGTGTTGTTTGCAACATTTTTAGACTGTTTAAAACTTTCTGAGGTTATTTAGAACTTGCTGGGGTTGTTTGAAGCCCTCTGGGGTTGTTTGAAGCCCTCTGGGGTTGTTTGAAGCTGCCTGGGGTTGTTTGAGACTCTATGGGGCTGTTTGAAACCCTCTGGGGCTGTTTGAAACCCTCTGAGGCTGTTTGCAATATTTTTGGGGCGATTTGAAACTTGCTAAGGTTGTTTGAGACTCCCTGGGTCTGTTTGAGACTCTCTGGGAGTGTTTGAGACTCTCTGGGATTGCTTGAAGCTCCCTGGGCCTGTTTGAAGCTCCCTGGAGCTGTTTGCATTATTTTTAGGTCGATTTGAAACTAGCTAAGGCTGTCTAAAACTTTCTCAGGCAGTTTAATACTCTGAGACTGTTTAAAACTAGCTGAGGCTGTTAAAAACTCTCTGGGGCTGTTTTTAACATTTTTAGACTGTTAAAAACTTGCTGTCATTATTTAATACTTTCTGGGAATGTTTAAAATTTTCTGAGACTGTTTAAAATTTTCTGGGACTGTTTACAACATATTTGGGGCTGTTTAGAACATTTCTGGGGCTGTTTGCATTATTCTGAGACTGTTTAAAACTGTTTCAGGCTGTTTAAAATTGTCTGGGACTGTTTGTTTAAAATTGTCTGGAACTGTTTAAAACTGTCGGGGACTGTTTTAAATGTTCTGGGACTGTTTTAAATGTTCTGGGACTGTTTAAAATGTTTTGGGACTATTTAAAATGTTCTGGGACTGTTTAAAATTGTCTGGGACTGTTTAAAATTGTCTGGGACTGTTTAAAATTGTCTGGGACTGTTTAAAATTGTCTGGGACTGTTTAAAATTGTCTGGGACTGTTTAAAATTGTCTGGGACTGTTTAAAATTGTCTGGGACTGTTTAAAATTGTCTGGGACTGTTTAAAATTGTCTGGGACTGTTTAAAATTGTCTGGGACTGTTTAAAATTGTCTGGGACTGTTTGCAACATTTTGAGATTGTTTAAAACACTCTGGGACTGTTTGCAACAATTTGAGACTGTTTAAAACTCTTTGGGGCTGTTTGCAATTTTTTTGGGGGCGATTTAAAACTTTCCCAGGCAATTTAAAACTTTCTGAGGCTGTTTAAAACTTGATGGGGATGTTTAAAATTTTCTCAGGCTGTTAAAAACTTTCTCAGGCTGTTAAGAACTTGCTGGGACTGTTTAAAACTTTATGGGACTGTTTAAAACCCTCTGAGTATGTTTAGAACCCTCTGAGTATGTTTAGAACCCTCTAAGTATGTTTAGAACCCTCTGGGGCTGTTTGAAACCCTCTGGGGCTGTTTGAAACCCTCTGGGGCTGTTTCTTAGACTGTTTTAAGCTTTCTCAGGCTGTTTTAAACTTTTTCAGGCTGTTTTAAGCTTTCTCAGACTGTTATAAACTTTGTGGGACTTTTTGCAACATTTTCAGACAGTTTAAAATTTTCTGGGACCGTTTAAAATTGTCTGAGACTGTTTAAAATTGTTTGTGTCTGTTTAAAACTTTCTGGAATTGTTCAAAACTTATAGAACTTTGCACTGTGATAGGATAAAAATATATACAATTCAAAATTATATTACAAGTCCTAGAACGTTGTTGTAACTTTAATATATTATACTTCTACGACAAACCCTAAAATCAATGAGTTTTCTTACAATTTTTTGGGAAATCTTTCATTTTTATGAAGAAAGTACACGAAAAATTAATAAATAAGAGTTGTAAAATTGTGAGTTTCTTGAAAATACTTTCTTTTACTGTAAAATAAAATTCTATGCAGTCTAATTTTCTAAACGAATCTTTTGTAATTAAACCATTTCCCACAGGCCTATAATATTTTAGGGCATTTATTTTAAGTACCAATTCTATCACGATGCAAAGTAAAGAGTGCAATTAATAACAAAATTGCACTTTTGTTTTAAACCAAGAATTGTCATTCGTATGCAACATTTACGAAACAAACGAAAAATGTGTATAAAACAATTTACACAAATGTTTCTAACATTGTTACATATCCGTTACGTAAACTTAACGTTTGTGGTTCACCGCCATATATATATATTTCTATCGTTACCATAAAATCTTACCAAAAAAAATTCTTCGACTGAAAATTATCATGAATCTATGAAAATTTATAATATTGTTAATTTTTATATTAATTCATTCATTTATTAATTAAACTTTCTGCTTTGTATATGCAACTGTTACGTTTCTGTTTGTTCATTTAATTCATTCGTTGATACAGAACTGTTTTGTTGAATTAGTATAGTAATTAGTTTTTTGTTCTTTAAAATGTACTACAGATTTACCGGGCAGTTCTGCCTCAAAGCGTTGTCATGGCAACTGTGAAATGTCTATTTGCTGTGCTATCAGGTGTATTTTACGTTGCCATGACAACGCTATTTTATGAGGCAGAATTGCCCCCTTATAGTCGTAGTTTATAATTTAGTTTTATAATTGTTTAGTTACAGTTAAGATTGTGTGTTTTGTAGTCGTCTCTGCTGAAATATTTTGTTTCGACTGATCTATAAACTTATATTACTGAATAGATTGGAGTTATTATTAAAATTTTGTGTGATGTTCCTGCAAAAATATTTTGGCAACTGTGATAATGCAAAATGTACAGTATAATGATCCCAAAATAAAACAGTCATGGGTTAAATCATAGATAAAGAAGTATAAATAGATGGCAAACACGGCCGCTTTGACATTACATCAATTTTAATTCTTTCAGCATATCATAGATGTCGCCATCAACCTTCGCACGTAAATTTACTATTAGGTTCATTTCTAGATAAGATTTATATAATAATATAGAAAAGATGAACCTGATTAATTTGACTGAATGAAATGAGAACAAAATATATAATTTGAAGCACACAAGCACCATCTGTGATATGCTGAAAACACTCATACAGAGTTAAGCGCATTTGTTCTATGATAACCCCTGTTCTATGTTCTTTTCTTGTTGAATTTTCTTTAGGGTTTTACAAACACAATTTTTTTTCTCGAACGTTATACAATATTTTACTACTAGATTTTTTTATTACAATAGTTATTAAGTAGTCGGCATTTCTGTTGTAGTAGTAGTAAGTAGTAAAAAATATGAAAAAAATATTTGCAATTTATTATCAAACTAATATAAGTCGCAGGTTTTACATATATATATATATATATATATATATATATATATATATATATATATATACCTATCTAATTTTGTTTATTGATCAGAATTCTTATTATTATTATTATTATTGTTGTTGACGATGAAATATGATTTATATACAACAAATTTATATTTAAAATAGATCTTTATAACTTACTGACAGTAGATCATTGGTTGACGATTGTTACTCGCTGATGCAATAAATGATAAAGAATTGTATAAAAATATTTATCTTTTATATCATAGTTCTATTTTTTTGTTTTGTACAAAAATCGAAATCGAAATGTTTTTGCATATCTTCACGTTTCAGTGGTTTCTGAACCTTTTGGCATACCTTGGAAAAAATGGTGGGTGTATGGATACAATTTTTCGTACAAGTTATCGAGCGCACGGATCAACCGGTTTGAATGATTCATTTATCATTCGATTCCTATTGATAAGGAGATGTGCTGATTAGTTTTTGGCAAAGGCAGTTACAGCCGTTTCGGAGATATGGAGCAAAGAGTGCATAAAAAAGAAATCGAGTTTTTAAGAGAACGGACCATCCGATTTGAATGATTCGAAAAACATTCTATTCGTAATGATTGGGAGAAGTGGTGATTAGTTTTAAGTCCAAGACAGGTCCAGCCGTTTAGGAGATACGAAGCAAAATGTGCAAAATATAGCAGTTTCTGAGAGAAATAAGCATCCGGTTTGAATAATTCAAAAAACTTAGGGAAAAGAAAAAAAAGTTTTTATTTAATTTTTTTAATTTCCAAAATAAATCAAATTTCTCAATTTTAATTTGGTACGGGAAGTTCAAGCAATTTACCTCAAGGTACATGCTATATACCACTAGTTTGTATTTATTTTATTAACGTCCCGTAGGGTAAGTTATTGTAAACGTCGAAAAAGTGAAATTGAATGTTTTTGCACGTTTCAGACGTTTCTGAACATTTTGGCATACCTTCGAGAAAACTGATGCGTGTGTGGTAGGTATGTATGTATGTATGTAAGTACGGATACAATTTTTGATGTGCTGATTAGTTTTTGGCGAAGGCAGATTCAGCCGTTATGGAGATACGGACCAAAGAGTGCTAATAATAGAAATTGAGTTTTTGAGAAAATGGATCACAAGGTTTGAATAATTTAAAAAATTTATTTGTTTTGACAAAATGATGAGTTAAATGCAGAAAAAATGCAAATTTTACATTGCATTACATTTATTTTAAATTTTTCATTTATGATCTTTACAAATAATTATTATTAATTTTTGTTAAACAGGCAAAAAAGTAGAAAAGAAGACATGTAAGCATTTTGGAGGTTATAATTGGTAAGCAGGTAGGAAAGGTAAGCGAATTATGTGGTTTTGAAATGAAAATGAAAAGTAAAAAATGATAGAACATTTATTTATTGGATTTATATGCATTTATATATTGGAAATTATCAAAATACTAAAGTCAGCTCTTTAAAAATCTTTATCTTTATCTTAATCAAGTGCATATTATAATTTTAACTAAATTCACCGTTTTTCAAATGCAGTTTGAAATGTGAGGTGTTCATTCATAATACAGATGAATTCTTTTAATTTTAAAGTAACTGTATGAATGTACAGATTTTATTTTATATTCGAAAACATAATGCCATTTATATTATCAGGGTAATACCAATATCACTACTGCTTGACATCAAGCTGGAAACTTCTGGTTGAGAGCTCTTACTTTTAAACTACAGAGGAGACTTAAAACATTTAAAACAAATTTGCTTTGTAGATGTAAATTTGTAAAATTTAGGTAAGCAAGTTATACATTATTATGCCCTTTATATAGTAGATTTATATCGTATTATAGATTTACCTCTTACATTAGTAAAAACTTTGAAGTAACCAATGAATTATAAAAAGTGAAAGACATCAGACATTGGGAGTTGCATAAGTTGAAATTTTTTATGAGTCTCACTTTTTATTGATTAAAATAATTTTTACTTGTATAAAAAATGTTATGCAAGTCGCCGTAAGGCTAAATGCCACTTACACCTAGTTAAAAATGTATTATATTAATATTACAATTATAATATTGATTATTTCAAATTCAAATTTGAATTTACCGCTATCGTTATGTCGATAGTGCCAACTAGCGGCAATTCGCTCAACTTCAATGACATTTGTAACACAACATGTCAAAACCTAACCTAAATGTCAAAATGAACCAAATGTAGAAGACAATATAATAATATATTAATAATTTAGTTTAAAAGACTTAAAAATGACCATAGAATTAATAGTATTAACACTAAACTGCTGGTATATTATAATTTAATACATAACCATTGATATTTATATATATTATATTGATATTTATATATTTATTTATATTATTTTTGTTTTCAGGGGCATTCCATATGTATCTAAGGACAGAAACATTCGTATGAATGCAATTGCTGATGAATTGAATTCAGGAAAATATCATATAGTTACTTTGCAAGAAGTTTGGTCACAATCGGATTTTGAACTGATACAGCAAAAGACTGCTCAAGTTCTTCCTTATGCTCATTATTTTTATAGGTAATAATAAATAACATATATATATATATATATATATATATTATATACATAATGTTATATTACTATTACTATTTCTTTTTCTAGTGGTGTCGCTGGTTCAGGAGTCTGCATCCTATCAGCTTTCCCAATAATCGATGCATTCTTTCACCAATGGTCCATCAACGGTTACATTCACCGAATTCAGCACGGTGACTGGTTTGGTGGAAAAGGTGTCGGATTGTGTAAAATTAGAACGAACGATGGAACTATTATAAATATCTATTCGGCTCATGTAGGCGTAAAATGATAAATATAAATATATCGCAAATTGAAATTAATGAATACATTATATCCACATATGGTGAATTAAAATACATTAATATTTTATTTTTATTATTACAGTTGCACGCAGAGTACAACAGAGACTGTGATGATTATTTAGCTCATAGAGTTTTGCAAGCATTTGAAACTGGAAAGTTTATAGCACTCACGTCTTCGGATTCGGATGTGTCCATTTTGGGTGGTGATTTGAATACTGAACCAACTGATTTAGCTTACAGGTAATAAAAAGTCTATTTTGAAATAATATATATATATATATTATATATATATATATATATATATTAGGTTGTCAAATATCTCCCTTCCGCTTTTTTGCTTTGTTTTATATACAAAAGGCGAAGGGAGATATTTGACAATCTAATATATATATATCTAATCTATATATATATATATATTATATATATATATATATATATATATAAATATACAACAAACAATATAGTCAGAATTTAAAAGTGGCCTTTCCAACTCTTTTTATTCAAAATTTCAATATCCAAGAGTATATAACAAGTTTTACTGAATTTTAGTAAATTTTATCTAGTTTTTACTAACGTGAACAAATTATAATGTCCCAAGGAAAATTAAAGTTTTTTGAAAAAATGTAAAAAATGTCCTAAATCCATATAATGCAATATAACAATTTATAAGAAAGTGATATGATGTAAAAACTTACACGTAATTGTAAACCCTAATTATTTCATAATAATAATTGTTCTCAAATGCACAATAAAAACAATTCTTGTCACTTTAAATCGGAACAATTATATAATTTTTAGAAGAATTAGTTGACATCAGAGCAAAAAGATTTAAATTATTAGCAAAATTTGTTTAGAAATAAATAAATCACATAAATTTACAAGAGAATTATATAACACAGTCAAAATATAAAAGTGCCTCCTTTCTACTCATTTTATTCAAAATTCAATATGCAAGTGTATATAACAGTTTTACTAAATTTTAGTAAATTGTATCTAGTTTCTTATTGATGTGAACAAATTATAATGTCCTAAAAGAAAAATAAAAGTTATTTGAACAAAAGTAAAAAAAATGTTTTCTAAATCCATATATTGCATTATAAAAATACTAAAGTCAGTATTTTAACTACGATTTATTCAAAATTTTAATATCCAAGTGCATATAACAATTTTTACTAGATTTTACTAAATTTTATCTAGTTTTTACTTTAAAAGTTATTTAAAAAAATGTCCTAAATTCACCTATTGCTAAATATCAAAATATCAAATACTAAAATAAACGACGAAGAACTAAATTATTTTGTAAATCTAATTTAAATCTAAACAAAATCCGACTAATAACTCTTTCAATATGATATAAACCAATTTTAAAGTTAATATTTTTTCACCCGATTGGGCATTTTTTCCCGCACTGGAAAGTGTATTACAAGCTTGTTAATTTATTACACACTATAAACGTGTTAATTTGTAACACACCGTAAGCGTGTAAATTTATAACACACTATAAGAGTGTTAATTTATGACACATTATAAGTGTGTATATATTATGTTGTGCATCCCTGTTAGAATTTAATAATTAATTTAATATTACGTTTTGTAACACACCGTTAGCGTGTAATTTATAACACACTATAAGAGTGTTAATTTATGACACATTATAAGTGTTAAGTGTGTTATATATTATGTTGTGCATTCCTGCTAGAATTAATAATTAATTTAATATATTTTTTGGTCATCAATGAATTCTTGTATACTCTTGTCGCAAGAATATTAAACTTCATGAAAATATTATATTTCGTTTCCAGTAATTTACTCATCAAATACATCAGCATTATTTTACACGTGAACTATTTTTCTGGAAAGATCTGTGCAACTATGCTTAAGTAAGCATTTTTAGTTTAATTTAAATGATTAAAACATGAAACGGCAGTCTGCTGTCGGCTGTCGAGTCGGAAGCATCTTTAAAATATAACCTCCAAATGTAAAAGTTTATGAATCATATTTTCTATTTATTTGTTAGTTTTCTACGAACGTCTATGTAATTCTGAACATTTTATGTAATAAAAGTGAATTTGAAGTTAATGTGTAAAACGTGTTCAATAGCGACATTTTATTTTCTAACAATTACACAGAATGTGTTAATATATAACACACTACTAATTTACGACATTTAATTATAAGTGTGTTATATATTATGTTGTGCACCCCTGCTATAATTTAATATTATGTTTAGTCATCAATGAATTCTTGTATACTCTTGTCGCAAGAATATTAAACTTCATGAAAATATTGTATTTCGTTTCCAGTAATTTACTCATACAAGTACATCAGCATTATTTTACACGTGAACTATTTTTCTGGAAAGATCTGTGCAACTATGCTTAAGTAAGCGTTTTTAGTTTAATTTAAATGATTAAAACATAAAACGGGCAGTCTGCTGTGTCGGCATCTTTAAATATAACCTCCAAAATGTAAAAGTTTATGAATCATATTTTCTATTTATTTGTTAGTTTTCTACGAACGTCTATGTAATTCTGAACATTCTGTGTAATAAAAGTGAATTTGAAGTTAATGTGTAAAACGTGTTCAATAGGGACATTTCATTTTTCTAACAATTAACACAAAGTGTGTCAATATTCAACACACTACAAGCGAGTTAATTTATAACATACTACAAGCGAGTTAATTTATAACACACTACAAGCGTGTTAATTTATAACACACTACAAGCGAGTTAATTTTTAACACACTACAAGCATGTTAGTTTATAACGCACTATAAGTGCGTTATATATTAACACGTTCAACGTGTGTTAATGACAATTATAATTTTTGTTTTCCTCTTTAGAATTATTTTAGGTTCATCAGGTTTGCACGATTCATTCATTCCATTTCAAAACGATGAAATCACATGCAGAAGATCAACTGGAACAAACGAACATAAGGAAAATACATATTCACCAAAAAGTGTATCGGATAGCGACATCGAAGGGAAGAGAATCGATTACATTCTTTACAAAGGCAGTAATAAAGTTAAGGTAGGAATTTAATTTATTAACCTTATTTATTGAAAATGAAAATTTTTGCATTTCTCGACGTTCTGAAGGTTTCTGAACATTTTTAAAGAACATACCTCAAAAACTAAATGGATGTGTGTGTTTGTGTTTTGTATGTCCGCATTTTTTCGTCCACGTTTTCGGGCGCACGGATCAACCGATTTGAATGGTTTAAAAAACATTCGATTCCTATTGATAGGGAGATGTGCCTATTAGTTTTTGGCAAAGGCAGGTCCAGCCGTTACGGAGATACGGAGCAAAGAGTGCAGAAAATTCAAAATCGAGTTTTTGAAGGAACGTAGTATCGGATTTGAATGATCTAAGAAACATTCAATTTGTAATGATAGGGAGAATTGGTGATTAGTTTTTGACAAAGGCAGGTCTAACCGTGTCGGAGATACGGAGCTAAATGTGCAAAAATGGCAGTTTTTAAGAGAACTAAGCGTCCGATTTGAATGATCTAAAAAACTTTCTGCTTGTATTGACAAAACAATTGCTTTTGAGGATAAAAAATCGTTGCATTTTTTTTTATTTTCCATAAAATATTTTTGTAATTTTTTAGATTAAAAATTCAAAAAATTACCCAGGCTAAGCACAGTCTAAGCGCCACTCTGGTACAAATGTTTACCCGAGTGCGTTTAGACTGTTTACGTACTGGAGACACTTCCAATTTTGTGAAAATTATTGAAAAATGTGAAAATGCCGCCAAGCTAAGCACAGTAGAAGTGAAAATGTCGCACAGAATTATTTGCAAATGCGTTTTGACTGTGACTATGCGGGAGCACTTTTTCAATTTTTAGTAAATTAGGCAACTATTTTTTTTTTTTAATTGAATTCGAAATGAAATGTTCTTTCTGGAGATAAATTGATTGATTTATGATTTACATTTGAATTTTAAAGTAGAACTTCTTAGGTTGGCGATGTATAAATTAGTAAAATAAAATTTTATTTTTGAAGTAAAACTTCTTAAGTCGCGATGTCATATAGAGTCTGTTTTGATTAAACGTAAAAGAGACAACAGTACATAATGAGAAAATCAGAGAGAGAAAGAGATATAAAACACTAGTGCGAAAAAGAGCAACATATATCTGACAGTGTAGAGTGGCAGAGTAAGATATATGAATACAATGTGACCACCAAATTTAAGCAACTACCTTTTTAAATGTAATTTTTTGATAAAAGGACAAGAGATACCAATTTTTGTTGTTAATAGAAATTGTAGATAATTTAATTGGCTATAAATTTGCTGAATATTGCAAAATGGTGGGACATTTCGTTTAGAAGTTATACATAAATAAATAAAAATCGAGCTGGTCCAAAAGTGTGAAGCAAGATATACTGATGCAACCTCCGAAATTTAACAAAAACCTGTTTCATTGCAAATTTTGGGTAAAAGGATAAGAGATACAACATTTTGTTATTAACAAAAGTTGTAGATAATTTAATTGGCTATAAATTTGCCGAATATTACAAAACACAAATGCGGACTATCTAAATGTTGATATTAAGAGCTAAAACTTTTAGAGATTTTTTTTATATTAATTTGAAAGCATTTGAGCCCTTGGAAACAAAGAAATTCGAAAATGTCCATATTAAAAACCACCCTAATATATAGATATATTTGCTAAAGCATATTTGTGATTAAGTTGATAATATATATTTCCTATCCTCATTTCATTAATTAAAATTAATCAGGTTTATTCAATTTTCTGAATTATATATTTATTTAAAATTAGAACCAAGGGTAAAATTACGTGCTACGGATAGTGGCGCTCCCTATTAATTAATTTAACTGACTATTATACAAACTAGTGGTGGCATCGTGCCTTAAGGCAAATTGCTGGAACTTTCCGTACTGTAATGAAATATTCGAGAAATTTTAAACGTGGTATTACAAATTCTGTAACTTTCATTATTTTTTCTATCTTGCTATATCTGAGTAAATCAAATGTAAATCATAAATCAATTTGTCTCCAGAACATTAACAATCGTCATTTCATTTAATATAATAATAATATTAAGAGCTAAAACTTTCAGAGAATTTTCTTTTATTGCTTTGGGAGCAAAGAAATTCGAAAATGTCTATGGGTACATTCGTACTGAGTTTAATGTTAATTCATTTCTAGGTAAATGTTTCAAAGTACGAACATCCATTGCCTGTCACAATTCCCAATCACGACATCAGTTTCTCAGACCATGAAGCAGTTGTAACTACATTTCGACTGGAAAAAGCCTTTTCTACTTCTGGTGAGTTGTAAAATTTATTGCCTTAAGGCACGATGCCATGCACCACTAGTTCAATAAGTTTCATAATCCATTAGTTAGTATTTTTCTACACTTTTTGCAGAAACCGGCAAAGTGTGCTTTATCCCCGATGACACCAACAACTTGGAACAAAACCTCAACAACTCATATGCTCAAGATATAAACGACTCGATTAAGATTTGTAAAGAGGCTTTGATATCTCTAGATAACCACAAACGATCTTACATATATTTATCGATAGTATGTTTTTCTCTCCTTCTGGCCATTATTAAGATGAGCGATCTGTCCAGTCTTACTGTGACATCTACATTGATTCTGATTGTGCAAATAAGTTTGACTATTATTTGGATGTTTGGATTGCTGATGGCATTTATGTGGAATAACATTGAACGGAACAGTGTTTTTGCAGGGAAATTGAGTATGGAGATACATTTGAAGTATTTGAAAGATAATGGACAATAATAGAAAGAAATAAACAGGACATGGGGGTACAATTTTATTTTTAGTGATAGTGATATATAGCAATTATTTAAATGCTCAATTTATATTCGTTATTAAATTAGATATATATGGAACACGTTTTTGTATGAATAATGAAATATATAATATACAAAAAGTCTGTTAACATTATATTTAGTAGTAAGTAAGTAAGTTTAGAAGTACATTTTTAAAGTGTTGATAGTTAATAAATTTACAAGCTAACCACAATTTTATATGAGGATGACATTTTGAAAATGTGTTCAAATTATTGGAACTGGTTGATATTTAGATATGTGACAATAAAAAAGATAACTAGTGGTGTATGGCATCGTGCCTTAAGGCAAATTGCCGGAACTTCCCGTACCGTAATGAAATATTCGAGAAATTTTAAACGTTTTCAAATATATTACTATTTCATTATTTTTGTTATCTTGTTATATCTGAGCAAATCAAATGCAAATCATAAATAAATTTATCTTCATTAACAATCGTCATTTCATTTCGAATTCAATTTAAAAAAAATAGTTGCCTAATTTACACAAAATTAGAATATAAAAAGGGACTCTACCGACGAGCAAATCATTAAATAATCTAGAAGAAAATAAAAAAGAACTCTACTGACCAGTAAGATTATTAAATAATGTTTAATATAAAAAGAGTCTCTACTGACGAGCAAATTATTAAATAATCTAGAAGAAAATAAAAAAGGGACACTACTGACCAGCAAGATTATTAAATAATCTTGAATATAAAAAGGGTCTCTACTGATGAGCAAATCATTAAATAATCTAGACGAAAATAAAAAGGGACTCTACTGACGAGCAAATTATTACATAATCTTGAATAAAAAAAGGGTCTATACTGACGAGCAAATCATTGAATAATCTAGAAGAAAATAAAAAGGGACTCTACTGACGAGCAAATTATTGCATAATCTTGAATATAAAAAGAAACTCTACTGACGAGCAAATTATTAAAAAATCAGCAACATAAAAAAGGACTATACTGATTAACAAATTTATTAGTAATATAAAAAAATAAGACTCTACTGACGAGCAAAATAAAAAATGATCTAAAAAATAAATCAAAAATTATAATTTTCAATATTAATATCAAAATTGAAAAAGTGCTCCCGTGTATAGTCACAGTCTAAACGCATTTGCAAATAATTCTGTGCGAAATTTTCACTTATACTGTGCTTGGCTTGGCGGCATTTTCACATTTTCAATAGTTTTCTTTTCACAAAATTGGAAAAGTGCACCAGTACATAAACAGTCTAAACGCACTTGGGTGAACATTTGTACCAGAGTGGCGCTTAGACTGTGCTTCGCCTGGGTGATTTTTTGAATTTTTAATCCAAAATTCCAAAAATATTTTATGGAAAATAAAAAACAATGTAATAATTTTTTATCCATGTTATGAGTCAGAATTGCCTAGACAAGGAGATAAAAAAGGGACTCTACTGACGAGCAAATTGAATTTCGTTAAGAGAATATGAAAAGAACTGACAACCAATCTCAAACTAGATGTAGAATAAAAAAGGACTCTATTGACGAGCAAATTAAATGTCAATCTAAAAAATGAACAAGGGACTCTACTGACGAGCAAAGAAGAAAGAGGACTCTACTGACGAGCAAAGAAAAAAAGGACTCTACTGACGAGCAAAGAAAAAAAAACTCTACTGACGAGCAAAGGAAAAAAAACTCTACTGACGAGCAAATTAAATTTCTTTTTAAAAAATGAACAAGAGATTCTACTGACGAGCAATTTAAATTTTTAATCCAAAATTACAAAAATATTTTTTGAAAAAAAAAATTAGAAACAATTTTTTTTTCAAGAGCGATTATTTTTTTGGAACAAGCAGAAAGTTCTTTGAATCATTAAAATCGGACGCTTAGTTCTCTCAAAAAATGCCATTTTTTTAACATTTAGCTCTGTATCTCCGAAACCGCTGGGGCTACCTTTGCCAAAAACTAATAACCACTTTTCCCCGTCATTACGAACTGAATGTTTTTTGGATCATTCAAATCGGGTGATCCGTTCTCTCAAAAACTCGATTTCTATTTTCTGCACTCTTTGATCCGTAACTCCGAAATTACTATTTAAAATTACTATAACTTACCCAACGCAAAGTTAAAAATTATATCTAAATGATTTAAAATAAATTGTTTAATTAAAAAAGTAAAATTTTGTCTATTAAAAAGGGCGCCTGAACGGATAGGGCCTATCTATTATATCAACTATTCTAATATTATATCATCTATTATAATATTATTGATAGAACGTTTGATGTTTTTATATTATATTATTTAAAAGTAAAACAAATGAATAATCATTTTAAATGAAAATAACATACCTTGACACATAGATAAATAAGACATACTTGGTATATCAATCAAATTACATTTTCTAACTAACATTATTTTTTCAAATTTAAAATTTTCCCGCCTCTTAGACTGTGTACAACTTCATGTCCGTCTCTATTAAAGTTAACCTAACCTCAATTTAATATGAGGATGACATTTTGAAAATGTGTTTTTGTGTAATTAAAAAAAAAAGAAATAATTTAAGTGATGGACAGTCAAATTATCGGAACTGGTAGATATTTAGATATTGTGGACGACACTTGGAGAGAAGAGAGACTTCCTTTTGAGGATATACAGGTAAAATGTGGAATCGAATTTTAAAAGTCATGTACAAATGTCAATTAATAGGCAAATGAAATATAAATATACCATATTATTCTACAATAACTCAACGTTTTATCAAATTCACATTTGTCTTCTAAATCTGATTCACAAGTTGTGTCTATTATTTATTTAAATATATAGCCCACAGATTACTCCAAGAGGACTCAAAAATACAATTATTTTACACAATGAATAACAATTAAAATATATACAAAATTACAATATATAGTTATTAACATAAAATGCTCAACATAAAATTACATATAATGCAGAATGTATCAATATCATTTATAAACAGAATAAGATAAAATAATGAGGTATTTGAAAAGAAAATAAAAAGGTTAGCTTGTGCAGATGGAGATTATTTGATTAGGTGAAGCGTTGTGAATATCTATTTCATTATTAATTAAGTTAAAGTTGGAGGACATAAGTAGAATAGGCGAATTTAAGAGAGAATTAGATTTAGGAGTACCAATTAGGAAGGAATACCAAATTCTTTTAGTAAAGTGTTGTGGTCAAAGCCACGTTCAGGGTAAATTTTCTATGTTTTATAATAAAGGTATTTCAGAAATTTTCCCTGAACCTTCTCTGTTGCATCAGAGTTGTTGATTTGATGAGAATACCAAATAATCGAACCATATTCTAATTTAGAACGTACAATAGAATAGTACATGCAAAAAAGTGCATTGATAGAATTGAATTGTTTACAATTTCTCAGTATCAAACCAAAAGATTTACGTGCTCTATTACAAATATCAGTTATATGATCCGTGAAAAACAAACCAAAATCAAAAAGAACTCCTAAATCTGAAATTTTATTACATCTATCAATGCTGGTGTTAGAAATTTTATAATCCAAAAGTATTGCAACGTGCTTATTTGAAAAACTGAGAATAATTATAATGTTTCTATTTTCTAGGTCCCTGCTGATGAGTTGCCAGATCCCGAGACAGATACTGGAGAATCACCTTTAACACTCAAGGAACAAGAACAAAGCTGGTCCGATTTGGCTTTGACAAACCTCAACGACCAACACAATAACTAACATGTCTAAAATTCTTTAAATTTACACTTTTACACACAAAAAAATAGCAAAATCAAATGTAAATTTAAAATGCATAAAAACAGTTAAAGCTTTCAATTTTAATCAAAATTTTTGTGAACTTTTATATATATTTTTTGATATATTTTCTTAACAAAAATGGAGTTGCCTTCGCTGGGAATTAATTGTTCTGTGAGCGGTTGCAACCGGCTAGATTTTTTGCCTCTGCGCTGTGAGTGTGGAAAAATGTTTTGCACCGATCATTTTATGGAACATACACAAGACTGTGAGGCTTTTAAAAAATCGAAAGCATTAAAGGTAATAGTAATGGATATGTTTGTAACATATTTATTTTATAAATATTTATTTTATAGTAATGGATATAATATAAATATAAATATGAATATAAATATAATATAAATTTAATATAAATATAAATATAAATGCAAATATAAATATATAATTATAATTATAAATATAAATATAAATGCAAATATAAATATAAATGCAAATATAAATATAAATATAAATATGAATATAAATATAAATATAAATATATAAATATATAAATATATAAATATATAAATATATAAATATAAATATAAATAGAAAGGACATATAAATTATAAATATAAATATAAATATATAAATATGAATATAAATATGAATATAAATATAAATATAAATTAAATTTAATATAAATATATAAATATAAATATATAAATGGAAATATAAATATAAATATAAATATAAATGCAAATATAAATATAAATGCAAATATAAATATAAATGCAAATATAAATATAAATGCAAATATAAATATAAATATAAATATAAATGCAAATATAAATATAAATGCAAATATAAATATGAATATAAATATAAATATGAATATAAATATAAATGCAAATATAAATATAAATATAAATGCAAATATAAATATAAATGCAAATATAAATATAAATGCAAATATAAATATAAATGCAAATATAAATATAAATATAAATGCAAATATGAATATATAAATACTTAAATATAATTATAAATATAAATAGTAATATAAATATGAATATAAATATAAATGCAAATATAAATATAATATAAATATAAATGCAAATGTAAATATAAATATAAATGCAAATATAAATATAAATATAAATGCAAATATAAATATAAATGCAAATGCAAATATAAATATAAATGCAAATATAAATATAAATATAAATGCAAATATAAATATAAATGCAAATATAAATATAAATATAAATGCAAATAAAAATATAAATGCAAATGCAAATATAAATATAAATGCAAATATAAATATAAATGCAAATATAAATATAAATATAAATGCAAATATAATTATATAAATATAAATATAAATGCAAATATAATTATATAAATATAAATATGAATATAAATATAAATATAAATACGAATATAATTATATAAATATAATTATATAAATATGAATATAAATAAAATATAAATATAAATATAAATATGCATATAATATAAATATAATTATATAAATATAAATATAAATGCAAATATAATTATATAAATATAAATATGAATATAAATATAAATATAAATACGAATATAATTATATAAATATAAATATATAAATATGAATATAAATATAAATTTATAAATATAAATATGTAAATATAAATATGAATATAAATATAAATATAAATATAAATATAAATATAAAAGATACATATAAATATAAATATAGATATATATATAAATATATAAATAAATATAAATATATTTATAATTATAAATATAATTATAAATATAATTATAATTATAAATATAAATATAAATATAAATATTAGGTTGTCAAATATCTCCCTTCCGCTTTTTTGCTCTTGGTTTATAATACAAAAAGGCGGAAGGGAGATATTTGACAACCTATTATAAATATAAATATAAATATAAATATAAATTTTTAATGAAAATAATATTATGATTGTTTTTTAAAGGTTCAGCAGGCTGAAATGGTGAAGACAACGTACGCTTGCACTTTTGACGGTTGTGCTGATGTTAGCTCGTTTCATTTTCCTTGCAAGAAATGCACAAAACATTATTGCATCAGTCACAGACATCATAAGTAAGTTGAAATGTTTAATTAATTACTATTTGTTATAAAAATAACATGTCTTGGATTATTTAATATAAAATATTATTTTATCAAGAGATCTTTACATATTTTTTTTTAAGGTCTTGCGATATAAGCGAGGAAGAGTTAGAAGAGGAACGAAAACGTTGGAATTTACCAATCGAACAGTACAACAAGGCAAAGGAAAAACTTGAAATTCATGTACGTATATAATGTTATTAATAAATTAAGTTATTTTGCACCCAAATTTAATTAAATAAATGTGTCAACTTATTCTATTGCAATTAATAAGTGAGGAGAGTTTGTTGAAAAATTCATTAGACAGATTTATTTTACTTCTTTCAATTATCATTTTTGAGTTGAATAATAAGATTTGAAATTTTAGTTCTATTTTTTTTATAATAGTTCTTAGAGGAACTACAACAATCATAATCCTGGTTATATTCACAACATTTAGACATCTGGTGCTGCATTTTCAGCCATCTCACAATATTCTCAGACATTGTACAAAATTTTCAGACAGACATTCCACAATATTATCACACATTGTATAGCATTTTCAGGCATTGTACAGAATTTTCAGTCAGACATTCCACAGCATTTGCAAACATTTGTAGAATTTTCAGTCATTGTAGAGCATTTTCAGGAATTGTACAGTATTTTCAGGCAATTCACAATATTCTCAGACATTTCACAATATTCTCAAACATTGTACAGAATTTTCAGACAGACTTTCCACAGCATTTGCAAACATTGTGCAGAATTTTAAGGCATTGTACAGTATTTTCAGGTGTTTCACAATATTCTCAGACTTTGTACCGAATTTTCAGACAGACATTCTACAGCATTTGCAAATATTTGCAGAATTTTCAGGAATTGTACATTATTCTCAGACATTTCAAAATATTCTCAGACATTGTAAAGAATTTTCAGACAGACAGAATTTTCCACAGCATTTGCAAACATTTGTAGAATTTTCAGGAATTGTAAGGTATTTTCAGGAACTGTACAGTATTTTCAGGCATTTTACAATATTCTCAGACATTGCACAGCATTTTCAGACATTGTACCGAATTTCCAGACAGACATTCCACAGCATTTGCAAACATTGCGCAGAATTTTCAGGAATTGTACAGTATTTTCAGACATTTCACAATATTCTCAGATATTTAACAATATTCCCAGACATTTCACAATATTCTCAGACATTGTACAGAATTTTCAGACAGACATTCTACAGCATTTGCAAATATTAGTAGAATTTTCAGGAATTGTACAGTATTTTCAGGTATTTCACAATATTCTCAGACATTTCACAACATTCTCAGACATTGTACAGAATTTTCAGACAGACATTCTACAGCATTTGTGCAAACATTTGTAGAATTTTCAGGAATCATAGAGCATTTGCAGGAATTGCACAGAATTTTCAGACATTTTACAATATTCTCAGACATTTCACAATATTTTCAGACATTGTGTAGAATTTTCACACAGACAGACACAGCATTTGCAAATATTTATAGAATTTTCAGGAATTGTACAGTATTTTCAGGCATTTCACAATATTTTCAGACACTACAACATTTTCAGACATTGCACAGCATTTTCAGACATTATAGAGCATTTTCAGATGTTATGCAGTATTTTCAGATGGACATTTCACAACATTTTCAAAAACATTCAAACTATCCACAATATTATCAGACATTAAACAATATTTTCAGACTTTTCACAATATTTTCAGACTTTTTACAATATTTTCAGACTTTTCACAATATTTTCAGACAGCATTTTCAGACATTGTAGAGCATTTTCAGATGTTGTGCAGTATTTTCAGATGGACATTTCACAACATTTTCAAAGATATTCAAACATTTTCAAAAACATTCAAACTATCCACAATATTATCAGACATTAAACAATATTTTCAGACTTTTCACAATATTTTCAGACTTTTTACAATATTTTCAGACTTTTCACAATATTTTCAGACAGCAATTTCAGACATTGTAGAGCATTTTCAGATGTTGTGCAGTATTTTCAGATGGACATTTCACAACATTTTCAAAGATATTCAAACATTTTCAAAAATATTCAAACTATCCACAATATTATCAGACATTTCACCACATTTTCAGACTTTTTAGACATTTTACAACATTTTTCGACTTTTCACAAGACTTTCAGACCTTTTAGACATTTCACAACATTATCAGACTTTTGAGTCATTTCACAGCATTATCAAACTTTTCAGACATTTCACAACATTATCAGACTTTTCAGACATTTTACAATATTATCAGACTTTTCAGACATTTCACAGCATTTTCAGTCTTTTCACAACATTATCAGACTTTTTAGACATTTCACATTCATTTTCAGGAATTGTACAGCATTTTCTTATTCATTAGTACTTTCAGTCTATTTACAGCATTCTGAGACAATCTTCAACATATTTACATCTGTTGGAGGTTTGAGTTCTATTTTTATAACAGAATGTTATCTTAAATTTTTATATTAAAATACTATCTTATCTAAAAGATATCTTATGATTATACTCCGAGATTGAGCCCTTGAGTAACAATATTTATTCGGGCAATGAATATTAAGAAGCTTTGATCTTATATGATTAAAAAAATACATTCATAAACATTTCCAATTACCCTTTTTCTTATCTATTAATATTTAATTCAATTTCCAGCTCAACAAGACAGCAATGAAAATCCAGCCAGACTCCAAAAAATCAAAGATGAGTAACAAAATCCAACTGATGCGTTTGAAAGGCAAAGCAATAGGCCCCAAAGACATCCCGGTACAAGACCGTTTATATTTCCTCGTTCACAAACCCTTCGGGATGACCACAAAACAAGTATCTGACAAACCAATCGATCCATTATCCCCGGTACCATCAGCCCAAGAAAAACCAACCGGTCAAGACAAAACAGTGGCTGTTTATGTGTCACAGAACTGGAGCGTTGGTAAGATCATCGATAGTTTTTCACAGTTTTGCAAAGTCATCAATAATAATAATAAATCTAATGAGAGTAAGTTGAGATTGTTCCGATTGAACGATGGATTGATTGTTAGTTCCATAATGAGTATGAAGATCAGTAAGATTTTGGAGAATAATATCATACGAGATGGAGAGAGTCTGATACTTGAATATGTCGATGGTGAGAAGTGTGTGAACGATGAATGTTATTTGCAACAGTACGCTTGCTATGCAGAATAGATTGTAACATTTTAAATGATGGATAATAAATCATCTTTTACAAATTGTTGTTGGTTTATATATGATTTAGAAATTATTATAATTTTAATAATCTGTTATTGCGGTATTGATTTTTTTAAACAGGTAATTTGTTCCACAATATTTTCAGGCATTGTACAAAATTTTCAGACGTTGTACAGAATTTTCAGACGTTACACAGCGTTTCTAGACATTATAGAACATTTTCTCAGATGTTGTGCAGAATTTTCAGACATTATAGAACATTTTGAAGCATTCTACATAATTTTCAGACACTGTACAGCATTTTCATACATTGTACAACATTTTTTTGCATATTGTACAGAATTTTCAGACATTCCACAATATCCTCAGACATTGTGCAGCATTTTACAGAATTTCTAGACTTTGTACAGCATTTTTAGGCATTCCAGAATATTCTCAGACATTTCACAACATGTTCAGACGTTTTACAGGATTTTTAGACATTGTACAGAATTTTCAGACGTACAACATTTTCAAGCATATTGTAGAGCATTTTCACACGTTGTACAGAATTTTTCAAACATTCCACAATATTCTCAGACATTGTACAGAATTTTCAGAAGTTATGCAGAGTTTTCAGAAAGACATTGTACAGCATTTTCATGTACTATACAAAATATTTACATATAGTACAGCATTTTCAGACGTTGTACAAAATTTTCAGATATTCTATAAAATTTTCAGGCATTCCACAATATTCTCTGACATTGTAATGTATTTTCAAACGTTTAATATTGTGAACATATTAGGTTGTCAAATATCTCCCTTCCGCTTTTTTGCTCTTGGTTTATAATACAAAAAGGCGTAAGGGAGATATTTGACAACCTAATATAAATATAAATATTAGGTTGTCAAATATCTCCCTTCCGCTTTTTTGCTCTTGGTTTATAATACAAAAAGGCGGAAGGGAGATATTTGACAACCTTATATAAATATAAATATGAATATAAATATAAATATAAATATTAGGTTGTCAAATATCTCCCTTCCGCTTTTTTGCTCTTGGTTTATAATACAAAAAGGCGGAAGGGAGATATTTGACAACCTAATATTTAAAATTGTCAATTCGATACATATATTTGTAGATTTGAGCTCAAAGCCACAAATTCTGACTATAATTAAACCACTTCTCATGGGCCTATAATATTTTAAAAACATTGTATCAATTCCCAGAAAATGCCTCTTTATGTTCTTCTTATTAGTTACATAACTCTCACAATTATTTTAATATATTTAGATAAATTATAAACTAGTTGTAAATCATACATCATAATAACATTGAAAATTATTTCATAGTTAAAGTATAATATATTAATGATTTGGTTTATTTTTATTATTTTGCTTAAGGGGGTTGATCGTTTTTTTGTTATAAAAAATGCAAGGTATTGTTTTTCTCGAAATGTATTTATCATAGAGACATGCGGTTTTTTTTCAACAAAAATTACAAGATTATAGAATATTAAGAAATTTTTTATTATTTTTTTTTCGCCGTCTTTTTTTAACCAGGGGGCACCAAAATGGGCATTGCAAAATCGCCTGAAACAAAAAAAAGCAACTACGTTGAAGAAGAAGGTTGAATCCAGTCCCCCTACCAAAATAAAAGAAAAAAAGCAAGAAGGAAAAAAATGGCAGCTACTTAAAAAAAAGTATTAAAAAGAGCCTTTTTTGGGACGAGAAGCTTCGCAAAATTTTTTTGCGTAGAGGTGGGGGGACTAGGTATTGCAGTGGTGAACAAATTAAAAAAAAATGCAATTTGATCCGATTTGTAGTTTTTTTTAATTTGTGGCACCGCATTGAAAAAAGTCAATTTAAGAAGAACGTATTTAAAGTTTTTAATATAATGTACTAAATACACCATTTAATTTAATGTACTAAATACACCATGGTGTTCAAAAAAATTTTGACACATTAAAAAGTTCACGTGCATGAGGTATTATAATGAAAAAGAGAGCAGCTGGCATACAATAGCTGCTAAAAAAATGAAAAAAACGGTTTCTGAAGATCATACATATAGGGATATATATAATTATAACTCCGTCAAAAAATAGATATTGAGATGATTATTTTTTAAATAATTCTAAGGTTTTTAGCTTTCATAATATCGAAAAATCTCAAAATTGAAAAAAATAAAATAAAAACCGAACAACCTCATTAAGTTCAAGTTGTACTCTCAGTTTTTGATTTTAATACTTTTGTTCTTGATCTCAGAATCCTGTGGATTATAATTAATTAACATTATATCAAGTAAAGACATTTTGTGATATAAAGTAAAAATCGTTTTAAACAATATTTTTTCCGTTTGAATTTTCCCGCGCATTTTCTAAGCTGGTAGATTGGTGACCAACGTGAACTTATCTGTCAGACAGACGTCAGAAATTGTATTTGAGGTTATGTCAATAACAAAAAATGCCAAAATATATTAAAATTTTACTTTTAATAGTTAAATAATAGTTTAAATAATACTTTGTATACAAAATGAGTGTAAACGTGTTAGATTTAAATCACCAAGAACTATGTGAACTAACAAACATCAACACTTTCAAGAATTTTAAGCACAGATCCTTTAATGAGCGATTTACCTGGTGACATACATTTAGAAGAAATACAAGCACAGGTAAAGTGCTTTAAATTCATTTTGTTTAATAATAAAATCCCATTGATTGATTTTTACATTTTGCAGATAGCTGCTGTTAAGGGCCAGTATTTAACAGTACAAGTTGTGCGAACGGAACAAGAAACCTTAAAAATAATGGTAAATGTCACATAATATGATGTCGAATATAGTTTTTACTAATATTACTTCAATGTTTTTATTAGATTCCAGAAAGAGGTTCGACCGTGTTAGATTTAAAAAAAGCAATCAAACGACACTTTGAACTTCAACAAATTCGAAACAAAGATAAAACCAAAATATCCTGGAAGTATATATGGAGGACTTATTATTTGCAATTGGAAAACAGAGTTTTGGAAAATGATAATGTCGTATTGAAGGATTTTGGTTTGAGAAATAATTCAAAATCAAGTTTGTTAAACGGAGACGAATGAAACATATGAAATAAAGGTAATGAAAGAAATATAAATAAAGGTAAATGAAGAAATATAAATTAATAGTTTTCTATATCTTTTATTGATATTAGTAAAAGATTAAAATTATTAATAAATTAATAGTTTTCTAATTAAATATTGTAAATTATAGACATCATGTTCAGTATTTTATACTCAGACAAAAATCATTATTGGAGACTGACTAAACTTCTAATGGAGATTTTCATGATGACAAATATATTTAATATCTGTATACTAATTT